ATACTGACAATTAGTAGTATTTGAGGCTCCATTATATAATTTGCAATAAAATCAAACTAATACAGAGATAATAATACCGTAGATTAATGTTTGTTTATTTCCATATACTGCCATTAAAGTCTATTCTTCTCAACCCGGCTACAGAAAATAAAAATGAATTGCGATCTAGTTTCGTTCATTAGGGAAATAGCGGACATTCTAAACGCATCCAAATATGGACCCATTCTCAGCGACAATGAGCTTGGGTTTCCTCTTATCATTTTCCCACAAAACTAATTGGAAACAATCGCACATTTTTGGCATTCCAAACCTAGACGATGCCCTCCTGATGAAACTCCTGCTGAGCAGAAGCCAAATATGATATGGGTATATTGCTGTTTTGGCGAGGTCATTTTCATATTTCGGCTTGAAGTTTGGAAATTTGGCAACTATTTGGAAATACAAAGCAATTCACACTGAGGCAATTTTCCGTTTAGCCCTATAGTTATTTATTCTTATAAAGCGATACGAGGGCTCACCAGTGCTCACGTTTTTTTTTCTCTCGTTTTTTTTCATTCTTTTTTTGTAATCATCCCGACAGCAAGGTATATCTGCTTTTGGAGGGAAAAGGGATATATATTTACAAATGGCAACGAGTGTTATTGATAGCACATGTGTAGATCGTTTTCAATACTCTAACCCCCTCTTATTTTATGTAATACGAAACTATTTCAGTCAATTCAGTATGAGCTCATCATTTCGTATGAAATCAGGGGCACCGCCCCAGATTTTGTGAGGGGGTCAATATTTGGCGCCTTTACCTTAGTTTCTCTTTCTCCCCCCCCCCCCCCCCAGCTTTCTACACGATCGCCATTTTAGCGAAATAATGGAGGGGGTAATAACCCCAGTCCCCTATAACGCCGCCCTACACACAACCTTTTATCAGGGCGCATGACAATCATGTTTATATTTCACATGGATATACATCCGTACTGCCCACTCCGGGAAGCATCCAGAACTCGCGCGAAGGCGGATCGCGATGACTTAGAAATGACAGCTGGGAATGTAAGCTTTGGATTCCCGACATATCTTTAGCGTGACTGCGAGGCAGACGAGACATAAACGGAAAGACAGATACACACACACACACACACGCACACACACACAGACAGACATGCGAACCAACTCACACGAAAAATAGATTAACAAAAATATCCGAATTAAGTTTCTTTGTAAATGTATCATTTTCATTCTTGATATGGACATACATGTCATTTCAGCCGTACTTATACATGAAAACCTATAACAGGAGTCCCAATTAGGGATGTGCGTCAGATTTCAGCGAGGTGCTGCTGCTTTTCGATTGCTATGTTTTGTTTTCTTCAAACGTCTTCCCATCATGCATTGCTTCGGGTCAATGCCTTCTTAGTCTTGCACTTACCTCATGCATATCCCGGCTATTGATAAAGGAATTACTGCCCGCAATCGTGTAATTGATCAAATAAGAGCCCCCCCCCCCTCACATCTCCATTGGTTAGATGTGAAGTTATATGTTACATATTTTTTCCCCAAAACAATGTTTTATACCTATATATCGGTTGTAGGTTTCTCAATTGATTGTATGTATCAAGGAGAGGTTCTTGAAGTTAATTTCAACGATTAGTAATGCTTGCATACTTTTAATACATCATTAATATCATTTTTATGTTGATACTAATGACCATAGATATAATATACGATAATGTTTGCATACAGTCATGCATATAAAATGATAATAAATTATGAAGAATCAACATAACGTATACAAAACGTTATCGATGATGAGTATAAGAAATTTGTAGAATGATAATTTTGACAGGAGGGTGTTTATTCAATACAAATACATCCCTTTAGCTCAATGTACAATATGGAGTTAACGAATCGACACCCTAAATCCCTTTATTCGTTTCAACATTTACAAAATATATACTATGGCTTAACTGCGTCATCTGTGGGTAATAGAAGGTGCGGGAAGATACCCTCTTTTCACCCCCCCCTCTCTCTCTCTCTCTCTCTATCCTTCCATCATCATCGATGTCGGATGCGGATGCCAAAGAGAGATCGAGAGGAGACCCCCTCCCTCCCATCTGCCCTTCCAATCCCACCCGAAGCTTGGCCTAAAACCCGGCGACCTCAAATGCTTTGGAATGCCAGGCACGCGGCCAACATAACAGAGAACGCCATTTTTAGAAGTTGATCCGTTGATCGAAGGCATCACATGGAATAGACCCCCTTGCGAATATTCTGGAAAAGTATTCGTCGTTTAGAAACATCTGGGAGTATGGATAAAAATAGTTGTGCTATATATTATGAAAAATTTAAATCATGTTCTGTTTGCATTATCGCATTACACATCATTTTACCTTGACAAGAATTTATAAAGCTGGATCACCATTTTACAACTGCATTGTCATGACGATGAATATCATCTGGTAGATCGGGAATGTATTAATTTTTTATGGCAATATTGCATTACATGTTTTTCTCTTGAAAAAAGTGTTGTTTTTAAAAGCTGTCACTGTCAAATACGGTGTAGGTTTGTTTAAAGAAAAAAAAACAAATGTTTAAAGGTTTAAAGATGTATGTAGCATTAAGTGCTAAAAGGGGTGGTGGGTAAGTTCTGCGAACACAGCGAATTCGTACAGAGAAAGAATCTCTGATCCATTTATGAGGTGGGATAAATGGATAATACATTGACATATTTGAGGTGGTGTTTATTTTGGTAGATATATAACACGCCTGTTATGACTGCCCCTCATGTCTACGTCACAATCAATTTTGTATCGTGTACTCTTACAGATCAAGGGAGTTGACACGACGACATAGTCTTCATTCAGGTCTCTGAAATTCATGCCTTTGTCTTTGACTGATTAGTATTGACAGCTGATTGCGTAGACTACGGTGTTGGATGATGCAGATATGTTTTATCGAGAGCGAGAGCTCTGGGGCGTGGTCAGATACCAAGGGGTAACCTCTCACCCCTCGGTACACGATGAGAACTTAAAGTAACGAGAGATATTGAAATCAAGATGGGCCTAGAAATTAAATTCCTAGTATAATGTACGTCATTGTTTTTTTTAGTTACCATGGTTTCTGTAACCTTTTCCCCTCCCTATTATTATGTTTCAGTACGCATATAGGGCACTAAAACATTTCATATTTTGTTCCGAGTCCCCTTGGAAAAGGTTTGATAAATCTTGCACGTAGAGGTATCTTAAAGGGTACTCATTCGTTTCTTTTACAATAATTATTCGTACATAACTAAAAGCTTAATATTGAAATGAGGAAAGAGGCGAGGAGGTGCTAATTTTCTGCTACACTAGAATGCTACAACAGCTAGAGTATGCTTTTCCTTCGATGTGATATTTGCTTTTCTCTTTCATTTCCAACTATCAACTCTTCTGTGAAATAAAAGAATTATACTATAAACAATGTTAAAGGAAACTAATCTACAGAGTACACTAGATATTCCTCTATTGTGATGTCCGTATAGAAATGATAAATACTACAGATGATCATCGTTGTGAATCAGATTAAGCTACACCAGGTATCGAATCTGATAGACATGAGCGCTATACAAGAATGGCAAGAACCCACTATTATAATTATTATTATTACATGAATTAATAACGGACGTAATGAATTATTCTATACACATTTTTTTCTGCGATTAAGATTATTTAAACATATACATCACTCACATCCCTGTTTACATCGACTAGTCTTCTACTCCCCCCTCCTTTAAAAAGCAAAATAATTATGACATGACATAACTAATCAAAAGATACATTACTAACATTTGTACACAGTCGCAAAGGGGAACATGGATGCCACGGACGTGTGAAATTGCTTCTAATTAAACGCCATTATTTGTCTGTACTGGTGCTGGTGTACGCCATAGAGTTATTATAGGTGTACATACACACACGTACGGCTATTCTACCCTGGAATGCGTAGCGCCATTTGAGCCTCCCTGGGGCATGGTTATCGTAGGGGCTGCGGCGCTCAACGGGTACCTTATATAGTCATCAGCCGGCTGGTTCGGCTGGTAAGATGAGAGACATAATGGTCGGGTGGGAGTCATAAGGGGTTGCGGTCTGTCGAGGTTTGATTCATAAAGAGGTTGATATTATGCTATACGCCAGACTTTTGTAATGAAGAGGAGTGGAAATCCAATCTTTTAGGATTGGTTTAATATTGTAGTCGAAACCACTCCAAAGTAGTGGTTCGATTTACTCTTTTGAGAGTCGATTCTACGGTAGTTTTTAATATTTTCGTTTCCCTATTAAACCTCATCCATTCCTCTTTGAATCAACGCCCCCTCCCCTTCTCCCTCCCACATCCTTACCCTCCCTGTCCCTCAACCTCCCCCTCCCCCTCCCACATTAATGTCGTTATATGGATTGCAACAATCCAGATATTCTCAAGCACCCTAAATAAACTTTTATTTATAAAGTATTATCATATATTTTCATTCCATAAAGCATACCAGAGTCGAAAGCAAACCTTATAAAATACACAAAGTCCCTTTGATAACAGCATATGCATATGAAAGAATCCCCCTTCCTCTTTTCCTTTCATTCTTCTTCTATATGACATTTTTTTCCCGTTTCATTTACGGGTTGCAAGGTTAAGCTCCAATTTTATCCTCTCAATCTGTTGCCCTTCCGTATTTTACAATAAATGCTTATTACAGTTCGTATAATTGTCATTGATCACTGTCAACAAATTATTCAATGTCACTATTTATGATGACGAAATACTTCAGAATGATGATGCAGAAACCAATACAAATTCGATTTAATTAACGATGATATTTCTGTCCCACTTTTCACATTTTTAATCCCCTATTGATATCGTATTGCCGAGATTCGTAAGTGCACTTACTTTAGCAAGGTTATTTTTTAGAATATTATTGCTGATTATGAAGTAATGAAATACTAAATTTCCCATTTTTTCCCATTTTTTTTTTCACACTCCAGATCGAGTCAAAACGCGACCCCGAACTTGAACGTCAATGCGTGGAGTTCGTTGTCCATCACACAGGCGAGACCGTCAACACTTTCGACGACCTGAAGAACGGAGTCATTCTCTGCAAGTAAGTCTTAGAATGTAGTCGAAGAAAAAACCTCCAACAAAGCGACACAAAACGAGATCGCAAATACTTTCGAAAAATTCACCTTAGGCAATTTCAGTAGCCTTGCCCATTTTGTGAAGACTTCATTGACGTATTACGTAATCTGAACATGATTTCTAAGCGATGTTAAATCATGACATTAGGGTAATGAAACTGCCCTTGAGTTTATTTCTCGAAAGTTATTTATGATCGTGTCCTAAGTTCTAACTAATGTTCTGATCATGATCATTTGATATACATGATATAAGACCACCGGTGCTTATGCATCTCACAGACCACCTAATTATTTGTAATCAATATTTATCTGGATTCTTTCCCCTTTGTGGATGAGACTGATTGATTATATGGTTAATTTTCCTCAACCAGGAACTACATTTACCTGTTCGTACATAGCACGATATTGAGCTAAAACGAGTAATGGGGTGGAGTTGTTTATTTTGGATGGAAAGTCCAGAATCAAACGGAAAAGCAAGGATTGGTCTGTTGTACGAGATGGGTTAAACATGGTATCTGAAATGTGCAATTCGTGGTTGTAATAGTAATCTAAATCTCCTATCTGATGAATAAAGAAAGGCTTCGGGAGTCTAATCCTAATATTACAATGATGGCTATAATTTGATATGTTTATCTGTAATATATAAATCTCAAAGTTAATGTATCAATTCAATGGAAAGATTGTTTTACATGTATGTATTCCTTTCTTCGTATACAATGAATTACATTATTCCTTGATGAAATATCCTCCCATGTCACCTTTTCGTTCCGTCATCTCATACGATTTAGAATTTATATCAATTGACTGTCATTTATCATTCAATCAGTTTCTTGTCTGCTATCATTCAATATTTCATTACTTGAAGCAATATTATTCATTAATCATTAGTTGGGCTTTTTTCCATAGCCAACTTCCATATCCAACATTTTACATAGAGTACACAAGTAAACTTTGCATTAAGGTTCAGAGCACTTTACACATATTGATGTGGGCCGTTTGCTTTTTTTCTGGAATGGATTAAAACGCACTGCTTTGTGGAATGTAAACAATAACATTTCTTTATGATTTTTTTTTATTCATTCTTTTTCTTCTCTTTAACCTAACGTCCATGTGTTGCGTACATTATTTGTAAACATGCATATCACGAGCATGATATGTTTTTGTTACTTTTCTGGGGTAACAACCAACGGTATTTGACTTTGGTTTTTTAAGTTACTCCTTAACCTTTTTGAATTATTTTTATGTGGATTTCATTGAAGAAAAAAAACTTTGCATAATACCAAATCATCCCATCATCCCCGAGATGTCGGCAGTTTGCCTCAGTTCATTTGATCACAGTTTTACAATCGTAACCTCGATCATTTCCATTTCATCGAGGGTTTTAAATAAATGTTGCTTGTCTCTGAAACTGCGTTGTATTTTGCGTGGTGATGAACTCCAATTCAAGGCAACCTCCTTTGTTTCATTTAACTAAGCAATTAGTGTTGTTATGTTGTGTTTTGAGAATCTTGCATTATTTGAGCTTGAACTTCTTTATTCCATGTTTTCTGTTTTGCCTGCATGTCGGGAATTCGAACGATCACATCTTTAGGTTGATAAACCTTTTTAAACCTGGCGCAGTAAAGAAAGTTGAGAACGCTACAAAAAATACATTCGCAAAGGTAAGTTGAAGAAGAACGAATGCATGCGACAAAGACGCTATGAGCTGATGAAATGACGTAAGACGGACAGTCCTATCGTTGTATAGTCGTTATATAGTATTACTGGAATGTGATTTTATGTAGTTGCATGTAAACGTATTCATTTTTAGACTAGAAATGTTCATCCTTGCGTGGCTGAACTATCGCTTTGCGGGCGACATCAGCCCAGAGACTAGCTTCAAGCTGCATGTGCTTAGGAATGTAACATGGGACCGGTCGTAACCGGTCCTTTCGAAATGCTTCAAGCTGAACCCTAAGCAGCTAGTTAATAATTCTAGATTTAGCAGTGTGTCCTACAAATGAACAGTGACTAATTTCCTTTGTGAGATTTATATAAACTAACAATTATTATTAGTTAGTATCACGCACAGATGCCATACAAGTAGTTCATGCGGTATACTAGATCAAGAACATGCTCACACATACGTATTATATATAATCTAGTTAGAAGCCCGAACCAGAGCTCCTCAAGTACCATCATTTCAAATTACAATTAATCCATTTTTTGTAAGTTCCTGTAGATTATGTTGCATGCACTTGGAGGTCAATAAGAACCCAGACAACAGATCGGACCCTTGTGCCGTCTGCCCCCCCCCCCCCCCCCTATCTCCCTTTCTCTCTCTCTGTCCATTCTGCCATAGTCCCAACTAGAACCAACGACACATCACGTTCCAGTCCTAATGCATTCAGTACTAAAGTTACTGTTAATTATCAAGACAGAATGAAAATGAAGGAAAAGAGTGCCCCGCCCGATTCCGTTAGTATTTTAACTAAGAACATAGAACAGTGTAGAATGGACATACACACAGCAATACATACTTAACATACTTTAAGCGGGAGGGATTATCTAGTGCGGAAGCAAAAATGCAAATGGAAATCTCTTAGCTACTTAGATCCCTACTGCAGCCTTAGACCCCGTTTACAGTGAGCAAAAAGGCCGGACTAAGCCGGGCCGAGCCGCGGCCCGGCGTAGCACTGTAAACACGCAAAAGGCCAAATGCGAGGCCAAACTGGCCGCGCATTTGGCCCTGCTCTGTTTTTTTACATGCAGAGCGCTACTCTGACAAAATATTGAAAGGTTACAATTCAAGCCGCGGCCGAGCCTGCCACTGTAAATGCACAAAATTGCGGGGCCGAGTAGGTCTGGCTCGGCCGCGGCCCGGCCCTGGCCCTTTTCTTACTGTAAACGGGGTCTTAGAGGCAATATAAATCATTAACCCATTCTTTTTTACTACATTTTACTACATCGATAACAAGGCCGAAAAGAAGTACAGTCCATAGACATTTTATAGGACGATCATAATTATTTCGCCAGAAATATATCTAGACTCTTAAAGGGGCATGTTCCCGGATTCCAAAGGGCGCTCAAAATACGTACGCGCTGGCGGACGGCGCTATAGCTGCCTATTGACACCAACAGAATACGGCTCTTACGTAGATGGCATGTTCCGGTAACTACACTGGCGGGAACGTGCCCCTTTAACCAAGCACCTTAAGATCTGCTGTTGTTTATAATTCTGTTGACCTCCTACCGTCGTCTCCTTCCCCTTTCCCTTCGAGTATCTTTAGTGTTGAACCTGTCATCCCTCTATATATTACATGTGCATTTCTATCAGGCTTGTTAACAAATTCTGCCCGAATGCCGTGAGAAAGGTCGAACAGTCCACAGCTGTCTTCAAGCAGGTAAGGAAACTTAACCGTCCTGCATGAGCTATTATACCCCCCCCCCCTAGAAAGATGCGATTGCATATATGGGACCATCACTTTTTAGAGAGTTACGATCAGTCGCCAGTTACGACCAATCACAGATTCCCGCCATTTGTCAATAGGGGCAGTCCTAGGAAGCGGCAATGGGATAACGTAGGCTTTTTGTTGCGTTAAATGTTTATACGGTTCAGAATCTGTGATTGTAATCGTTACAAATTTAGATTATAGGCAAACAGGCAAACATTTATTATAAACATGAGAATGGACTACGTCTTACACTTTGAGGGATTTGGGATATTAAATAGAGGTCTGAAGAACGTCATAGAAATGGGCGTATGAATAAAACAAAATTCCATGGCCATAATGCCATTTTTGCCAGTTGAAGCAATGTGAAAGTTAAATTATGTTTCTCATGACATCCGGAAACATTTTGTTGAACACGTTAGGTAGTTCTGTAAAATTATTACCCTTGTTTTTTCCCCGCAAGTGAAATTATGTTCACTCTTACCAATGCAAGGGTAAAAGTGGACCAGTTTGCACGGTTTAAAACTGACGATTGGTCATAACTCTGTGTACAGGTGTGTTCTTTGAGCGGTTATATGTTTATTTATGTAGACCGGTTGGGTCTGAAACAAATTTCGCTGTCCATACGGATGCGATGTGTGATCCCACTCTGCGGGCTTTTTTAAAAACACCAAGTATCTGTTGTTTTTCCCCGTATTGACAGTAAATCAAAATGCCCCTTTTCCTGTACAAGAGATACTGAGATAACTCTTCGTGCCTGAAAATGTGGTTCGGGAAATCACACTGGTACCGTCGGACAGCGAAGAAGGATTCATGACATGGCTTATCAACATAAAAAATCCACTGAACATTATTGAATGGACAAGGTCCACACTAAATATTACCTGAGTGTGTCCAACCCGCAGTTTACCCCGCAAAGTTTGTGAAAAACTCAACAGTTTGTTTTTTATGTGACTTAAAGTTTATGGAAATGCTTACCATTACCAATACTTTAGTCGCACCGCCAAATCGACACCAAATCAATCGATTATTGGCGATTGGAGGTAATGTAATTGTCTGATCGGTCTGGTGGCGGTCTTAGTGGTGTGACTGAGGTATTGCAATGATTCGCAGTAGAAATCCCTAGTATCAGATTTGAAACGAATGACTCACACAGGGCGCTTTGGAAATTTAGGAGCTATGAACACCTACCTACCCGTTTCACCAAACTTTGCAGATAGGGTGTCAACATTGTTTGTAGATGACTTGTGAAGCGTCCTCCTAAGATATATATGATCGTTAATCAGTCTCGTAGAATAGAGAGGACCAACTAAGTGAATCTACTTTGTCTTGGTTGATGTCTGAAATTATAAGATGAACACATTTGTCTTACTAAAACTCAAACGTTCGAGCCAAGACCTATTAAAGTTATTAAAACACCTTTACCAAAGTATAACCTGAAACCAGACGTTTTGCTTGGTTTCAAAATATGACGGATCTCAAGTTTTCATTTTTTTTCAGATAAGATATAAAAAAAATACTTTAAATGTTTGTTTAATTATAAGGATACGCATATGATTTACTAGTAGTACAAGGTAAAATGAAGAAACGAACAAACCTTCAATCCGGAGTAGGAATTGACCGGAATCGGTCAATAACGCCAGATCATGTGTCATCAGACCGTGGAGTAACATCATGTTTTAAGCTGTGCCCTTTACCTCTTCCTTTCTCTCTTCAGAGGGCAAACCTTGAATCCTTCATCCAGGGATGCAAGGCATTTGGACTCAAGGACCAAGAAGTCTTCCAGGTCAACGATCTCTTCGAAAACAAGAACATCCCACAGTTCACACAGTGCATTGTCGCCCTTGGCCGCTATGTAAGTAGTCTTCTCATCACGATGGTATTGTACCTGTATATTCAGAGTAGAAAAGTAGTAGTTCCTTTTGTAGTCACGGATTAGTTAATTTAATCACTCATTATTCCTAAGTATCATTTAAGGTGTTCACACTTGTACAAGCATTGCTATTTAGTGGACCCCTCTGTTTCCAACATGTATTTATTACATTTGTTTTAAATGCTTATAATTGATTTGTAATGTTTTGTTGGAAACATTAATAAATTGAAAATTGAAAAGATAATATACAAATATTCGTTATGTCTCGAAAAAGAAAAAGAAGAACAATTGATTCTGACACAGTATATCGTACACACTTCCACACCAAGGCACATCCTTTTCACTAAAGACATATAGGTGTAGACCATCTTGGAAGACTGTTCCTAGTTTTGTATAACCCTGTTGCGTAGTTTAACGTCATCCCATTCTTGAATACAATATCATGTAAGGTTATCTCAATGATCAGGTAGAATCCGAACTTTCTTTCTCGTGATGAGTGATTTATGAATTAATAATGATGTTATCTTTGATCTTGACCCACAGGCCCAAGCTACAGAAGGTTACGATGGCCCCATCCTTGGGCCTAAGCAATCCGAGGGCAACGTCCGTGAATTCACCCAGGACCAGATGGATGCTGGCAAGCACATGATCGGACTCCAAATGGGTTCCAACAAGGGTGCTTCACAGGCTGGAGGAGACTTCGGCAGACCACGACAGGTCCACTCAGAATTCAAATAGACGACATACCCCGACAGCAGCACGTGACCTCTCAAAGTTTAAATATGGCGTCGACGCAGTATCCGCGGAAGCAAAAAAAGAAAGACATCCGAAGTCTTCCAATATTTTTCTTATTTACGAAAATGCATTGCAAAACCATTGACCCTGTATCCTAATCGTGTTGCTATAAAAGAAGTCGCGGTACTATTTCCTGAATTCAGTGCATTATCAAATCTTGAACTGTGAATTTGAAATAACAGAGAAATGTTCTGAATGATGCTGGTTTTAAGCATGAAATTATGTCGATGCCATTAGCACCTGGTCAAAGTTTTAACACGAATCACCACATTAAGTGTTGGTCAAAATTAAGATCGTTTTAAAACGGTCATTTTCAAAACCATTACTCTTGACATTGATAAATCGAAAAACTTTGAAAGGATCACTACTGAAAATAATGAGAAAGCTTTTATTACCGATTTGTATTTATTTCAGTTCATTTTCTAAAGAAATCGCAACGCTCAATTTGTTTGTATGAAATGGAAGTATTTATGTCAATTTTCAAAATGTCTTTGTTATGTTTGGGGCTAATAGCACTTCGGTAGATAAACGTATTGCAAAAGTTTATTTTAAAATGAATAATTATTATTCTGTAATGCTGAAAATATTGATGGACATACTTATTTAAGTAGTAGGATAGTCAAATGTTTTTTGTTCTTAGATTTTGTAGAAAAGGGGAACGGTGCACAAGGTTACATGCTTTTGAAGCAAAGATTATTATAAGCACATTGGCACGAATGGAAAAAATTGGTGAACTTAGTTATACAAAAAAACGAAAAAGAAAAAGTAACATGTATGTTGGTAACAAAAGAGTAATGTCTGTAGAAGAAAGCCATTTTTCATTATTTGCAATATTTTATCATCAACTACATGTTCTGTATCTATTTACGTGAAGGAATTGTTATACAAAATGCTGTAATACTGATTGATTAAAATCCAATCAGCGAGTTTTAAACATTTCATTTTTCAATCTCCGGCTTGTTAATACAAAATCTGAGAGACAATCACGATCTGGTGTTCCAACTTCGCCATGTGATCAGTATGTTTATAGAATGTAAATGACAATATCAATAGAAACCCAATAAAAACAAACATCACTGTGATAAATTATTTTGCCCCTTACATTGCCGTAAACTTGGTGTTTATTCTTTCTTTTTGGAGTGGATGTGTCTGAGAAAGAGATGCTTTTTTGATAACTCGATCAAATGTATTTTTGAGATGATTTTCAAATATTCCACGCATATTGTACTGTACAATGCCTGCTTTTGATATGCTGAAGAGTCTTGGATAGTATACATTTCATAACAACAATCATCTAAATTTTGCTCGATATATCATCCCTCTCATGCGTTATGTGTGATTCACTCACAAAAGTTCAGAATTCATGCACATTTTAGTCTAATTGTCTGATGTCATTTAGTCATGCGCCAAATTCCTTTCAATTCAGGCATTTTATAAACGCCAATACTACATAATCAAGATAGTTGTTAAACACGCCCCCAGTTTCACTCACTCCTTTAAAATGCTTGTAAAATCCATATTCGAGCATCGATTAAAAATAAGTGATAGAGTATATATAGAATTGCAGGCATGAGCCCTCGAAATCCCTTACTTTTCTAAGATTTTACTTACCGTGTTAATCATTTGGTTATTGGCATGTAAACATATCTACTAGAGAGAAGAAGAGAAAGAGAGAATGACAAATGACGATTTTAGGAGTGTTGATCATTTTTAAACGCTCTATTTTCAGTAAAACGGGCGTTTTTGCACGGTCATGTTTTTCTGTAATATTGAGGACATTATCATGTTCATAACTTTCAGCAGAAAATGATAATCATTTTGGCACATTGAATTACACCTTACATTCATGAATTCTCAATTTGGCATAATTATATGAAGTATAACCAAATAAAATGCAGAGAGAGTTATTCTCATGATTCTCAAAAATAGAATATCGATTGAAATCGGGGAAGATTTTATGAAGTTCCTCACAGCTCTGATGTAATCCTATTTCATGCATGACACACAACACATAATCATCTCTATGTCCATAGAAGTGACTGACTGACGCTTTGTGTGAAAAACACTCTTTGCATTTTATTGCTTCACCGTGTATACAGTATAGGCCTGAAAATGTGATGATTATAACTGATTTTCTTCGAATAGTCATGTTTTGGCTCTCTTCCCTTTCCCCCTCAAACTTCTTCTCATCCAAAATACAGCATATTTTACTTTACGAACTAAGTGCATCTAATAATGGCATAATTACATAAAATGGTGAATTATTGATTTCGTTTTTGTCACACATTTAACGCTAAGCTAGCCTTAAATTTAAATTTGTGTTTAAAAAATAATTCGTAAAAATTAAAGGACAATCCAAAACTTGTAATAAGTTATTTGTATAAAAGCAGAAAAATAAGAAAACAGATGGGAGAAAGTTTAACATAAATTGGACCAATAATAAGCGAGTAATGATTATTTGAAATATGAGATCACTGCTGTGTATTATAATTCGATGCGAGGGTGATGGGGGAAAGTCCACTTTTATAGATTAGAAACGTTTCCTTCAACATGTACCTTTATCTATCTCTCTGTTTCGGTAAAATGGATTATAAATGGGAGAATAATTAGATCTTCTACGAGAAAGGAAATACAATGAGAAGTGCAATACCTTCAGGAAAGGCACGGCGCTACTTAAACCTGGCTGAAACATTGTTACTAAAGTAACTGCCGATTTCATAATGCATGCAATCACCCCACCACTCTTCACGTTGCGCTGGCATGATTGAGATCATTACGTAATCATCAATGTCACATGGTCACCGTGGAGACGCCACCACCATCATCACAAAGAGATGCTTAGCAGAGGAAGCGCTCTCATTACATAATCGTGACCATCATCCATTTTCATTTCTCAACACCCAAGGGAATTGTCTTCACTCACATCATTGTAAGTGCATCATTTTCTTACTTTTCTTTTGTGCTTCTTTTTCTCTCCTGCAGCCATGGATTGTATTTCGTTTCTTGTCATTATCATAAAGTCATATCAGAAATAGACCTACATGTACGACGATCACGATGCTAATTCGAGTTTGGTATGCAAACGATTCATGGTTGCTTGTGCCAGAAATTCTTGCACATATTCTGTTGAAAAATCATGAGAATACCCCAAAATATGTTTTCGCATTATTTCCATGCATAATTGAATCATCTGGGACCCGTTTCACAAAGCATTTTTTTCAATGACAAATGACAAAAATCAGTGACGCATCTGCTGGTAACCAATTAGAAGCAAGGATTTCACTAGCTTATAACAGAAACTGGCATTTGTCACTGATGAAAAGTTTGGTGAAATGGGACCTGATCATTGTCCTTATAAATCTTGTTGACAACATTGCATTGCATTAGAACATTTCGGTGAGATGCGACATCGCCTTTTTCATGATTTTGTTTCATAAAATCCCGTTATCAAATTTGTCTTAGACCATCTATACCACCGTACCAACATCACAATTGTATGGATATATTAATGGCAACATGTTAATAACAAGGGTATTAAACAAAATCATTTTCTCTCTAGATTGGTCAACAAATTCTGTCCCGAAGCCGTCAGGAAGATCGAGACTTCAACTGCAGTTTTCAAGCAGGTGGGTTAACCGGCATGAAAGTTCATCCTTTGGTTATCAGAAATGTCACCGTTTACATATTTAAAAAAATGTATATAAAATTATGCATTCAATTATTATTTACGTCTTTATATTATCCGTTACACGCAAAGACCATCCCAAGTTATGGGAACAGATATGGCAATTGAATCATTCCAAACATTTTGTTTTGATATAGGTTTTACATTAATGATTGACATTATTTATATGGCGCCATACTTCTCGTGTTTTTTGTTAAAAATAAGAGATATGAAAAGTAAAACAAATTAATTAATTCCTTTTTTTTTCTTCGCCTTAATAAAAGAATAGTGCTCAGTTACACTCAAAATTGGAAAATGAACGAATGGTATTCCAAAGTCTCATACATGAATGTAAACGTCTCTTTCTACTTAGATCTTTCGAAACTCACAGTTGATCTAATTTGCGATTCCAATTCTTCTTTCCCCTTTTTTCATCTCCATCATTGGACAACCTATTCTCCTATTTATGGTACGTACACCCTGGATCATCACCTTTCGTACCTGTCTACCGCTTACCTGGTCTGCCTGGTGACCTTCCAACTTACGTCCATGACGTCCACCGACCAACGTACAACGTTAAACCAACACCATCTCCCTTGGACACTGTCCCTCTACCATGGACACACAATTTCTACAAACTGCATTTCTCTGTGGTCTTCTCTGGATACTGTTTCACTCCCATGGGTACACCCAATCTCCGACCTCTACTTCATGTTTTCATCTGGCACTGTCTCGCTACCATTGACGCACCCAACTGCACTCCGGCTAACTTGGTCTTGGACACCTTAAACAGAGGGCAAACCTTGAATCCTTCATCCAGGGATTGAAGGTCTACGGGCTCAAGGACCAAGATGTCTTCCAGGTCAACGACCTTTATGAGTCCAAGAACATCCCACAGTTCACAGGGTGCCTTGTCGCCCTTGGCCGCTTTGTAAGTGTATAGGGATACAAAGAAGCTCTTCATCAACTGTACATATCGAGGGTTCAGTGACATATTTTGCCAAAATTAGTAATTGATATCAAAACTTTCAGAAAAATGTGGGCTTTCCAGGAAACACAAATAATTAACTCCACCCAACACCCCACCGAAGTCAATGGCTAGTGAAACATAGACTTAACTCCTTAAGGCCCAAGTGCTCAGTGACACATAAACCACTTTTTCTCAAATAGCCCAAATGGAATTACGTCTTTGTGTCACTGACCCCTCGATATTTTGGTTGTAATCCATGTTCCACTTCCTTTTGTCACGTTTGTATAGATATAGTAATACTCCATTGTGTGTCTTTCTAGAACACATGGAAGATGTGAATAGAGGAAAGAGATAACATGGTCAATAGGTTTACCAATAGGACATTTTCGTAATGTAATACAATTTAATGCACTAATCTTCGTTACGTGCTTCGTTACAAATTATTTCATTCACCTGTTACGAATAATTGTATTTCAATAGTCAGAATGCGAATTGCATACATTAATTGTTGCTAGGTAGGAAACACATACTGACTTGTCCTACCTATCAACACGTAATGTATGCAATATGCATTCTGACAATTAAAATGCACTCGTAACAGGTACATGAAGTAATTTGTATCGAGGCACTTAATCATAAATGTTGATATATTACGAAAACGGCCTATTGAATGCATACCGTCTTCTCTTGACGACTCAAAAGCTTCACACAGGCTTGGCAGACATAGCAACACCTAATTAATGCATAGTGGATTATATCCATATAAATTGCGCAATTAGACAATTAGGATAGACGACCTAAAGAATAAGTGTAGGTATTCTAACAAAAATGACATTTATTCTTGCCCTATGAAGTATAATATTACTTGCGAAAGTGTACAGAAGATATATAAATGGAGATAATCTGCATAATCTAATGTCTTTTAGCATGACATTTACGCAGTCATTTTCTTGATATGACGTACCAGACGAGGTTGTTCATAATCATGCACCAACTTGTTCATGCAATTTGCGTTCTGGCAATAGTACAAAGGATAATATTATGCACACGCCTGGAAAGGAAGCATCCATAAGTTTGAAAATGTGTTCATTTGATAAAATCTGAGAAATCTGTAAATGTTTTATTGGTGTAGAATTAGTTGAATACGGGCCATTAATTGGTGTCACTTCGTCTTTCTTCGGTCCATACAGGCCCAGTCCCAACCCGGCTACGACGGCCCCATCCTAGGACCCAGGCAGTCAGAGAGCAACGTCCGTGATTTCTCGCAGGACCAGATGGATGCTGGCAAGCACATGATCGGACTCCAAATGGGTTCCAACAAGGGTGCTTCACAGGCTGGTGGAGACTTCGGCAGACCACGACAGGTCCACTCAGATTTCAAATAGATCCCTTACCCCCGATCCTCACCAACAACCAATATATATCCCACATCATCGCATACACAGCCCAGTTCGCGGACAGGATAAATAGGAGGAAGAGGGGAGGAAGAGGGGAGGATAAAGGAAGGGGGAGGGAAAGGAAACGTTTGATACGAAAGAATAACAATTTCCATGTCAGACGTGTTTGCATTTGAGAGAAATCTTGAGAAATGCGCTTCCCCCGAAAATTTGACAGAAGCATTATTATTTAAAACTTGGTTTCAAAACACTGTTGTAATATGTGGCAAATTCGCAATGTAATCTGAAAATATTCTAAATTTGGAGAAATTTGTTTATCCTGTAATATTTAATAGGCGGCACATCTATTTCCCCTTTTCTTATACTGTTACGCATAACATTTTCGTATCAATAAGCATCATTCTACCAAAAAAAAGTTTAGTTTAACATAATCTTTATTTTGTTGTATGTATTCATTACTATCTTGCTGATCAAATTTTGTTCTTATACCATGTTCTCCAGTTTCAAAACGAAATCCATTTTTATCACAAAGTTGTTTTTTTGCTAACGCATAAGAATTTCCTCGTCTTAATCATTGAAGGGGAGAATATGATAATGACATGAAGCTTGTATTGTATTGCATGAAATGTAACTTGTGTAATATTTCGAAATATATATGTGTATATGTTCACCGGGTTGCTAAGACATAGCATATAAAATGGAGACGTTAATATAAGCTTGCTAACGACATGACTAAACATAAATCATGTTATTTGACGCCATAATGAGTTTGATACAAATTCTTTAACAAACAAAAATGATCAGTATATGTGGGATATATATTAAAAAAAAACAGATTAAATAGGAATGTTCCTTAGCCCACTTGACTTCTTTGTTTTGTTAGCATTCATCAATTTATTTAAAGAACGATTCGATTCCCCTTTAAAAAAATTAACAAATGTTCACTTCAGTGCATACTATTTAAACATTGATCGCTGTACCAGTTACTAAAAATAGAAGCTATTCAGCAAAACTGAAACTCTAATTCACTAAGATGTCATGATATTTATTTCATTCAAATGTACACCGTTATACTTTCGTCCTTATAAAATAAAGTTGCTGCACACAATCCGAAATACTTATACCTTTTATTTACTTGGTATGTTATTCCGTACGAGTTCTGCAACTGTTCCAATACCTTATTTCGATTTTTAAAAATTACTCTCTTTTATCCGTGTTTCACTTTTCGAAGGAATCTTAAGCGATGAAAGTTGAGATGAAAGTTGAGATGAAGAGGGAGAGGGAGTCAGATAGAGAGATGGAGAGAGAGAGAGTGGGAGGAGAGCAACTTTCAAAATACACGGCGGAGGTGGGCGATTCGCCCCCGTGAGCTACACAATCGCCCCCGTCAGAGTGCTCACGGGGGCGATTGCAAAATTAAAAATCGCGCCCGTGGAATTATAAAATAAAGATTATCTTTTCTGTTCTAACTTTATCGCAAATTTGAGTTTAAACTTTCAAAACTTAAACCAATGAAATGGAACTATGGAAGATATATTTTAATAGCGTGCAGGATTTCTCGCTCGAATTTGTCGGTGTCTAGAGGCTGCCATATTGTAAAAAAATAAATCGCCGCAAGATTGCGCTATATTTCCCATCTCCACATCTCCAAGAGTATTACGGATACACAAAACTGAAGTTCGCAGTGTGCTGCGGCCGTCAGCAGTGGCTATACTAGCTGCGCCGGTAGTATACTGGTGTGCACGCTGCCGTCCCATGTCTGCTGGAGCTAGAGGCGATCGCGCAAGGACCGAAACGTGGAGAGGTTTTTCGTTGTGAAAATCGTGAATCCTCTGGAATCTGGTGATTCCAAAAGACCAGCAAATTATGAACATCAACCAGTGAATCAACCGAAAGCTAAGATAAGTAAAAGAAACATGTTGACCTTGTTGGCAAGGTGGCGAATGTATACGGGCTTGGACTGGAAACTTCGTACAGAGCAGGCCAGTAGCCAGAGTTTGATGATGTTGGGGGGGGGGGGGGGGGAGGGGCACATACATGTAATTGATCGACGTCCTGGGGAGGGGTCTTAAAAAAGTTCAGCCGATCTTGGATCGGTTCGACCCCCCCCCCCCCCCCCCCCCCCGTGCCCCCCTCCCTCTCACGTGGCTACGTACCTGGTACAGAGGACTGGAAACTTCGTACAGAGCAGGCCAGTAGCCAGAGTTTGATGATGTTGGGGGGGGGGGGAGGGGCACATACATGTAATTGATCTACGTCCTGGGGAGGGGTCTTAAGAAAGTTCAGCCGATCTTGGATCGGTTCGACACCCCCCCCCCCCCCCGTGCCCCCCTCCCCTCCCGTGGCTACGTACCTGGTACAGAGGGAAGAGGAGATCTGGCCATAAGCTGCATGTTATAACTTATTAAGTTGGCAACTTTATTTAATTAGCACATTAACGATCGCATGGATTTTCCCTCAGCTAATACAAAGCATTGTTACCATAGCAAAGGAGCTGTTATGTTTTGAGCTTATTGGGGTATTGTTCGTCGATGCAAAGTTGATAATAAAATTACATAAAACATTCAGTATCTAACATTTGTGAAAGATGACATCAACCCCGTGTTGAATAGAACCGACTCTAAAGCAAACAAATGCAGAAACCGTTACCAAGTATTCAAACAATGCCTCATGTTCATCCAAGCGTGAACACATACCACACAAAAAAATGATACCAGATGATTTGGGACAAAACACTCTTTCATAAGATGTATAATAATTTCCTGTCCATAGATGATTTTAAAAATAATTAGCAATTTTCTAGGTGTCATTTTTGTTTTGACTAACACGGTATAGAAGATGGGGTGATAGTCCTAATGGAACAAAATTGTGCTTTTTATCCTTTATCAAAATAAATAAATAAATAAACCCTTTACAAACCCTTAAACGTACACACACACCCATACACATGACAGGCCCATACACAAATATTCAATAACCTAACTGGCCAAATTAGCTTCAACAAATGAATTCACTCAAAGTATGTATACCCTATCGTGTGTACCTTTAGTACATTTATTCTCTGTTTTGTACAAGCATACAATTAGTACATTTAGAAAGAAAAATGATGTCCCCTAGGGCATATCAATTTTAAATATTAAATCAGATACGCATATCCTTTGTATTGATGGATCGTTACGACATAGGGCTCATCTAATTAAAATTTAGTACTCTGATTTCTAATCAGAAGCAATGATTTTACTAGCTTATAACAGAAACTGACATTTGCCACTGATGACAAGTTTTATGAAATGGGCCCTGATCATTATCCTTATAAATCATTTTGACAACATTGCATTGCATTATACCATTTCTGCGACATCGCCTTTTTTCATGATTTTGTTTCAGAAAATCACGTTATTAAATATGGCTTAGACCATCTTTACCACCGTACTAACAGCACTATTGTATGGCAACATGTTAATAATAATGGTATTTATTTTTCTTAAAAATCATTTTCTCTCTAGATTGGTCAACAAATTCTGTCCCGGAGCAGTCAAGAAGATCGAGAATTCAACTGCAGTTTTCAAGCAGGTGGGTTTACCCGGCCCCCCCCCACTCCGTGAATGGAGGGATACCATGCGTGTTCCCAAACTCTTCGGCTCGTAACAAAAGAAAGAGCTCTACCGGTATTGACTTTACACACCGGACTTTTGCTGAATGGGGGGGGGGGGGGTGCTCAAAAAGGCTCGTATAACAAAAGAAAAAGGTCGACCCGTATTGACTTTACACACCTGACTTTTCCTGAAAAAAGGGGGGGGGGGGTCACTGGGAACACGCATATGCGTACCCTAAATAAGGTTGAGTGGGTGGGGGGGCGGATGGGTTAACCGGCGTTAAAGTTCATCCTATGGTTATCAGAAATGTCACTGATTACATATTTAAAGAAATTATTTATGTAAAATAATGCATGTGCATTACATTTTTATTTACGTCTTTATATTACCCGTTACACGGAAAGGCCATTTTAAGTTAATGGGAAAAGATGTTGCAATTGAATCATTCCAAAATTTTGTTTTTATATGGGTTTAAATGGCACCAATTTCTCGTGTTTTTTGTTTAATATAGGATATGAAAAGTTAAAAAAAATTATTAAATTAATTCCTCTAAGTCTTCGCCTTAAAGGAAGAAAAATGCTCACTTAAACACAAAATTGGATAATGAACGAATGCTATTCCAAAATCTCATACATACGAGCATTGAAACCTCTCTTCCTACTTTGATCTGAATCTCACAGTTGATCTAATTGCTATTCCAATTCTTCTTTCCCTCTTTTTGCACTACACGTCTAATCTTCATATTGCATCTCCACAATTGGACAACACATTCTCCTACTTATGGTACGTACACCCTGGATCACCACCTTTCGTACCTATCTACCGCTTACCTGGTCTGCCTGGTGACCTTCCAACTTACGTCCATGGCGTCCACCGACCGATGTCCACCGTCTTTTGTACACTGACCAACGTACAACGTTTCTGGCCTGTACTCCCTGTTGCACTTCCATTGACACTGCCCCTCTATCATGGCCATACAATATCTACAATCTGCATTTCTCTCTGGTCTTCTCTGGATACTGTTTCACTCCTATTGGTACACCCAATCTCTGGCCTGTACTTCGCTACCATTACACCCAACTGCACTCCGGCTAACTTGGTCTTGGACACCTTAAACAGAGGGCAAACCTTGAATCCTTCATCGATGGATTGAAGGCCTACGGGCTCAAGGACCAAGATGTCTTCCAGGTCAACGACCTTTATGAGAACAAGAACATCCCACAGTTCACAGGGTGTATGGTCTCCCTTGGCCGCTATGTAAGTGTTAAGATGCAAAGAAGCTCTTCATCAACTGTACATATTTTGGTTGTAATCTATGTTCCGCTTCCTTTTGTCACGTTTGTAGAGATAGTTTATTCATCATGGTGTGTCTTTCTAGAACACATGGAATCGTTAGAAGATGTGAATAGAGAGGAAAGAGATAACATGGTCAATAGGTTTACCAATAGGACATGATCGTAATGTAATAATAGTTAATGCACACATCTTCGTTAAGTGCTTTGTTACAAATTATTTCATTCACAAGCCATGTTACGAAAAATTGTATTTCAGTAGTCTGAATGCGAATTGTTGCTGGGTAGGAAACACATACTGACTTGTCCTTCCTAACAACACGTAGTGTATGCAATTTACATTCTGACAATTGAAATGCAATCGTAACAGGTGAATGAAATAATTAATATCGAGGCACTTAATTATACATGTTGATATATTACGAAAATTCCCTATTCAATGTATACCGTCTTCTCTTGATGACTCAAAAGCTTCCCACAGACTTGGCAGACATAGCAACAACTAATTAATGCATAATGGATTCTATCCATATTGCGCAATTGGACAATAAGGAAACCTCACCCTAAAGAATAAGTGTACGTATTCTAACAAAAATGAGATTTATTCTTGCCCTATGATGTATAATATTCCTTGCGAAAGTGTACAAAAGATATATAAATGAAGATAATCTTGGCATAATTTAATGTTTTTTAGCATGACATGGGCGCAGCCATTTTCTTGATATGACGTACCAGATGAGGTTGGACATAACGACTTTTTAATTCAATAACGAAACCTGTATTTCTTAATGAGGGAAAATCCTAGCTGAGAAGGTAAAATTTAAATTTGGGAAAAATATATAACAGGGAAACATTATTGTTACTCATGTATTTAATAATACTAAAATATAACACATAACAAATCTATTTTATTTATGCGAAATTTTCACTCCAGAGGTGCACCAACTTGTTCATGCAATTTGCGTTCTGGTAATTGTAGAACAAAGGATCATAGCAGGTGAATAAAATACTTCATCACCACACACATTTCGAATGATAAACGACTTCGCATAGTACGTCACGTTATTAAGAAAATGGCGATTCCCATGTCGTGCTGTGAAAGTGTACACTTGCTTTATCCCTCTCGCTCTACCAAATTTCGGTAATCTTGTATATTAATGGGCAATAATACAATACATTTCTCATAAACACTTAAGTTAATTCTTAGATTGAGGTTTCCTTTAATTCATTTTGAAGTCCAAATAATTTGTTTCTTTCTGTGAATGATGTTTATCAAGCAATCTTTCACCCATTTGAACGCACCTGAGACGAGAAATCTGTAAGTGTTTTATTGATGTAGAATTAGTAGGATACGGGCCATTCATTGGTGTCACTTCGTCTTTCTTCGGTCCATACAGGCCCAGTCCCAACCCGGCTACGACGGCCCTATCCTTGGGCCTAAGCAATCCGAGGGCAACGTCCGTGAATTCACCCAGGACCAGATGGATGCTGGCAAGCACATGATCGGACTCCAAATGGGTTCCAACAAGGGTGCTTCACAGGCTGGAGGAGACTTCGGCAGACCACGACAGGTCCACTCAGAATTCAAATAGACGACATATCCCGACAGCAGCACGTGACCTCTCAAAGTTTCAAAATGGCGTCGACGCAGTATCCGCGGAAGCAAAAAAAAAGAAAGACATCCGAAGTCTTCCAATATTTTTTTTTTTATTTACGAAAATACATTGCAAAACCATTGACCCTGTATCCTAATCGTGTTGCTATAAAAGAAGTCGCGGTATTATTTCCTAAACTCAGTGCATTATCAAATCTTGAACTGTGAATTTGAAATAACAGAGAAATGTTCTGAATGATGCTGGTTTAAACATGAAATTATGTCGATGCCATTAGAACCTGGTCAAAGTTTTAACACGAATCACCACATTCAAGTGTTGGTCAAAACTAAGATCTTTTTAAAACGATCATTTCGAAAACCATTACTCATGACATTGGTAAATCGAAAAACTTTGAAAGGATCACTTTTGAAAATAATTAGAAAGCTTTTATTACCAATTTGTATTTATTTCAGTTCATTTTCTAAAGAAATCGCAACGCTCAATTTGTTTGTATGAAATGGAAGTATTTATGTCAATTTTCAAAATGTCTTTGTTATGTTCGGGGCTAATAGCACTTCGGTAGATAAACGTATTGCAAAAGTTTATTTAAAAATGAATAATTTTTATTCTGTACTGCTGAAAATATTGATGGACATACTTATTTAAGTAGTAGGATGGATAGTCAAATGTTTTTTGTTCTTAGATTTTGTAGAAAAGGGGAACGGTGCACAAGGTTACATGCTTTTGAAGCAAAGATTATTATAAGCACATTGGCACAAATGGAAAAGATTGGTGAACTTAGTTATACAAAAAACGAAAAAGAAAAAGTAACATGTATGTTGGTAACAAAAAATTAATGTCTGTAGAAGAAAGCCATTTTTCATTATTTGCAATATTTCATCATCAACTACTTGTTCTGTATCTATTTACGTGAAGGAATTGTTAGACAAAATGCTGTAATACTGATTGATTAAAATCCAATCAGCGAGTTTTAAAATTTCATTTTTCAATCTCCGGCTTGTTTATACAAAATCTGAGAGACAATCACGATCTGGTGTTCCAACTTCGCCATGTGATCAGTATGTTTATAGAATGTAAATGACAATATCAATAGAAACCCAATAAAAAACAAACATCACTGTGATAAATTATTTTGCCCCTTACATCGCCGTAAACTTGGTGTTTATTCTTTTCTTTTTTGAGTGGATGTGTCTGAGAAAGAGATGGGTTTTTTTTATAACTCGATCAAATGTATTTTTGAGATGATTTTCAAATATTCCACGTAGCTTGGACTGTACAATGCCTGCTTTTGATATGCTGAAGAGTCTTGGATAGCATACATTCCATAACAACAATTATCTACATTTTGCTCGATATATCATCTCTCATGATTTGTGTGTGATCACAAAAGTTCAAAATTCCTGCACATTTTCATTAGTCTAATTGTCTGATGTCTTTTAGCCGTGCTCAAAATTTCTTTCAATTCATAAAAAGGAACAATTTATGGCATTTTATATACGCCTATATTATCAATATTATTAATATTAAATTATTATATTAATCTATCAAGACATTTGTTGAACACGCTCCCAGTTTCACTCACTCCTTAAAAAAACGTAAGGTGAATTGAAGTTATCATTGAGTTAAATACTACTCCTTTTGCAATCAAACATTTTATTGATCATTAAAGGAATGGTAAATGTTTAAAAGCGACTGTGGTGTGATTTGAATTCTTTAGCAATTCTTTTCTATCTCAATTCCACAACTAATTTTAATTCAATATCATTCTTGCCATAAAAAAACACCGCAAGAAAAGTGTCAAAAATTCATAAATGGTCTTCAGTCTGATGGAATTGAAAATGCTTGTAAAATACATATTCGAGCATCGATTAAAAATAATTGATAGAGTATTTATAGAATTGCAAGCATTAGCCCTCGAAATCCCATATTTTTCTAAGGTTTTCCTTACCGTGTTCATCATTTGGTTCTTAGCATGTAAACATATCTACTAGAGAGAAGGAGAGAAAGAGAGAGAATGACAAATGAAGATGTTAGGAGTGTTGATCATTTTTTTAATTATCTATTTTCAGTAAAACGGGCGTTTTTGCATGGTCATGTTACTTGACATATTGGGGACGTTATCATGCTCTTGACATTCAGCAGAAAATCATACTCATTTTGGCACATTAAATTACATTTTTACATTCATGAATTCTCAATTTGGCATAATATTATGAAGTGTAAACACATAAAATGCAGAGAGAGTCATTTCTATGCTTCTCCAAAAAAGAATATATATGAAAAACACACCTTGCATTTGATTGGTTCATCCTGTATACTGCACAGGCCTGACAATATGATGATTGTATCCGATTTTCTTCTAATAGTAATGTTTGGCTCACTTCTCTTTCCCCTCCAAAGGACATGCACCTCTTCTCATCCAAAATACTGCATATTTTACTTTACGAATTTAATGCATGTAAAAGTGGCACAATTCCATAAAATGGTTATTTATTAACATCGTGTTTGGCATCACAATCGTCACACATTTCACGCTAAGCTAGCCTTTAAATTTTTGTCCGCAAGTCACTTTTGAAGAATGACTTCCAAATACAGTTGAAAATGGAGGAAAGGAAGAAAACGGGTCCAAGGAAATAGAAGGGAAATTAAAGATACAGCTGTACAAGGGAAAATAATTTGTTACAAATTAAAGGGCAATCCAACCTTGTAATAAGTTATTTAAATAAAAGCAGAAAATAAGACAACAGATTGGAGAAAGTTTAAAATAAATCGGACCAATAATTAGCGAGTAATGAATATTTGAAATATGAGATCACTAAATCTATGCGAATCTCTAAGTGGCTAATTTGAGTCAGTGGAACATGACCCTCCCACCCACGATTGCCCAAACAGTAATCTCTTTGGGAAATATCAGATACAAATGCCCAAAGACTTATGTTTTCATAAGTGAGCACTAAAGGCATATTTAACACAAAGGGAAACTTAGTACCCGGTCTGAATTCCTTTGGAAAATTCCACTTAAGAACCAGCTCAAACCTGGCGTTGAAATTTTGGTAAAATGCGGACCAAATTGAGGGTCTTAAAAACGATTCAAATGTAAAACAGATCGGAAAGGGTAAACAATTATGCTAAAGGACAAAAATAAAACGATGCTTAATCTGTGTAGGCAATGATCTATAATAGATATCCCATCGTAGTTAAGTTAAATAGCTATGTATTATAAGTCGATGAGAGAGTGATGGGGGAGGGTCCTGCTTTTATAGATTAAAGACGTTTCCTTCTATCTTTATCTTTCTCTCTGTTTCGGTAATATGGATTCTAAATGGGAGAATGATAAGACATTTTACGAGAAAAGAAATACAATGAGAAGTTCAATACCTTCAGGAAAGGCATGGCGCTACTTAAACCTGGCTGAAATATTGTTACTATAGTAACTACCGTCTTCATATTCATGTTATCACCTCACCATTCTTCACGTTCCGCTGGAATGATTGAGATCATTACGTAATCATCAATGTCACGTGATCACAGTGAAGACGCCACCACCATCATCACAAAGAGATGCTTAGCAGAGGAAGCGCTCTCATTACATAATTGTGACCATCATCCATTTTCATTTCTCAAGACCCAAGGGCTTCACTCACATCATTGTAAGTGCATCATTTTCTTTCTTTTCTGTTGTGCTTCTTTTTCTCTCCAGCAGCCATGGATTGTATCTCGTTTCTTGTCATTATCATAAAGTCATATCAGAAATAGACCTATACGACGATCACAATGCTAATTCTAGTTTGGTATGCAAACGAATCATTGTTGCTTGTTCCAGCAATAATTATTGCTCATATTCTATTGAACCATCCATGAGAATACCCCAAAATATGTTTTCGCATTATTTCCATGCATAATTGAATCATCTGGGACCCGTTTCACAAAGCCCTTTTTTTCCAATGACAATGATCAGTTTCGCATCTGCTGGTAACCAATCAGAAGCAAGGATTTCACTAGCTTATAACAAAAACTATCATTTGTCACTGATGACTAGTTTTGTGAAATGGGGCCTGATCATTATTCTTTTTTTTATTGACAACATTGCATTGCATCAGACCATTTTGATGAGATGCAACCAGGCGCTTACACAGGGGGGGGGGGGTGAACCCCCTCCCCTTCGGTATTTTTCGGTGTGTAACCCCCCCTCAACCCCCCTAACCCCCCCTTGCAATGTTTTTATTTTTTTTATTTTTTTATTTAAAAAAAAAAAAAATGACCTTACCCCCCCCCCCCCCCCCCCCCCCCTAACGGAGCAAAATGTCAAATTTTCAAATTTCGAGACAAAAAAAAAAAAAAAAAAAAGTTTCCTCTTCCTCTTTTTGAAATTACTTTTTTTTATCAGTGTTTCACTTTCCGAAGCAAAGTTAAGCGATGATAAGTGAGATGAAGAGAGGGAGGGGGAGACAGATAGAGAGATGGAGAGAAAGTGGGAGACAGACAGAGAGATGGGGGAGAGGGAGAGGTGGTTGGGGGGGGGGGGGAGATAAATCGTCAAAAGGAGTACAATGGGGGAAATGGTAGAGAAATGAGGTAAGAGGCCATTTTGAATGGAAGAACGGGAGAGAGAGAGATGACAAAATATACCTGAGGAATATGTCAAAAAGAAGAGGAAAGATATGGAGCAAGAGAGAAAGGGACAAAAGTGGTGGAATAACTTGCACGACTAATGTTTTTAAAAAACACTGAGAATTGAGAAAGGGGAAATTGAGGAAGGGGACCAAAAGAAATTAGATAGGAGCATGGGAAACTGGGTTGGGAGCTATAGATTTGGGTTACACGAAATAACAGAAGAGGAGAAGAAAAAGAAAAAATTGGCGGATGCCAATTTCAATCTTCAAAATAGAGCCCCTATTCGCAAATTCGTTCTATTCAGGTGACATGAATTTGTTTGTATTACTTGTTACAGCGCCATCTGTAGAGATTTGTTCGGCTTCGTCAGTTTTCTTGGCAAATACCTATGACGTATAGTTGATGAGCTGAAGGCGTTACAACATCCCCACGCCAACCCCGACCCCAGTTTTTGTTTCAATGAATAAATAAATAGAATAAATTAAAATATAACAAACAACCACAGGGGCTCATGGGTGGGGGGGGGGGGGGGGGGGGGGGGGCTAAATGCATATTGGCGGATCCAGGGACTGCATGGGGCACACATCCAAAAAAAAATCAAAAAAGTAAGGTCCTCCCCCCCCCCCCCCCCCCCACTGTGCCATTGATTTCGGGGCGAAATTATCTGCAGAGAGGGAGTAAGCGGGTTCAATGAGTGCAATTTCCTTTAACTCATGCAAGACTTGACACTTGCCAACCCCCCCCCCCCCCCCCCTCCCATTGTGCCATTGATTTCGGGGCGAAATTATCTGCAGAGAGGGAGTGAGCGGGTTCAATGAGTGCAATTTCCTTAACTCATGCAAGACTTGACACTTGCCAACACCCCCCCCCCCCCCCCGATCCGCCACATATGAAGTTTTCTCTGCACGCAAAATGTTATATGCTTATTTTGAATGTAGTACTATTACATCAAAGAAGGATGCCACATCCATCAAAGGGACGGTCACAATTCCGTTTCTATGGTAACTTCATTTAATTAGCACATTAACGACCGCATGGATTTCGTCTCAGCTTATACAAAGCATTGTTACCATAGCAAAGGAGCTTGTGGTATTGTTCGTCGATGTAAAGTTGATAATAGAATTACTTTTACATAAAATATTCAGTATCCAAGATTTGTTTTTGCCATGTGAAAGATAACATCAACCCCGTGTTAAATAGAACCGACTCTAAAGCAAACAAATGCAGAAACCGTTACCAAGTATCCTGGAATGAAGGTTTAATATTTAAATCACTTCACCTAATATTTTGTCTCATCCAATTTAGATTTAAAAGCATATGTAATAATATTCTTAATGTCTGTAACAATAATAATGGGACAAAAAAATATTTTAGACGATTAGCGAGGTGAAGGGAGACAGAGAAAGAGAGAGAGAGGGGGAGGGGGGAAGAGAGAGAGAGAGAGGGATATGGGGCGATACTCATTCTGTTAAACAAATTCGCTTTTTGTCCTTTATCAAAGTGAATAAATAAAACAAACCCTTTCCTACAAACACACACACACGCATATCACAGGCATATAAACACAAATATTCACTCACCCAATAATATTGACCAAAGCTTCAACAAATGAATTCACTCAAAATATGTACCATATCGTGTGTACCTTTAGTACATTTATTCTCTGTTTTGTACAAGTATACAAATAGTACATTCAGAAAGAAAATGATGTCCCTTAGGGGATACAAATTTTAAATATTCAGTCAGATACACCATAAATATCCTTTGTATTGATGGAACATTACGACATAGGGTCCATCTGATTAAAATTTAGTACTTTGATTTTTTTTTCTTCAACATACATTTAAAAAAATATATAGATACAATTGACACTGGCTATAACAAAAATCACAAAACAGGTATATGAAGAACATTGACGCTTATACTGTTACAGAAATGGCGATAGATTATTTTGTATTTCTGAATTAAAAGGACAAGCATTTGTGAGGCATAAACGTTTCTGTAATATAGCTGAACAAAAATGTGCAAAATTCTCAATTTCAAACATTAATGAGATTGTCCACATTAGGCGTTCTGTATGTGCTGCGAGAGAACATTTATTGTGTGAGCTAGCCCATCGACAAATTAATGAATTTCTAAAATTATGGTACCAAATTTGAAAGTAGATTAGAAGGCAAAATAAAAGATTTATCAATTCAGCATTTACTGTTTTTTGACAAAGTTATAAATATTTCTTTTTTGCCTCAGATTTGATAATTCTGCTGTTTTACATACAGGCGTTTAATGCTCTTTTGGTTCTCAATTGAACAACAGAAGCAAATACAATAAACAAAATAAACCCCTCAAAAAAGTTCTGCAACTCAAGTTTTAGTGTTGATATCTCTCTCGTTAGTACAGTATATGATCAATCTTGACATTATTATCATTGAAAAGCCTTCAAAAGTCATACCGTCAGTAGTGAATTCTTCAGTTGTTTGGAGGATTAATCATGTATTGACAATAACAAAGCATTTTGCAACATGTAACTTATGACTTGGCCCCATATTCGGGTGAATCTGCACAGTCTTTGAGTATGCTTACATAATCATTACAAACAGGGCATCATTGTAAGGGGGAAATATACAGGCTTTTCAATGATAACAACGTCAAATATGATAGTACTGTATGGGAATGTCAGGTTAGCATCTCTGTGATTACACCGCATATTGTGTAAGGTCGTGAAATATGCAGCAACACTTTGGAATTACTTGTGCAGTTACAACATATTTTCTGATTATTTCCTGTAAATAGTATGTTCAAGAAGAAAGAAATATTACATCAAAACCATGTAGGCAGCAACAAAGTGGTTTACTTGTGCAAGGAACAGCAACAACGACAAAAACAAGAAATTTGTTCAAGATCGATAGAATTTTTAGAAAAATAATTGTATCATAGCACTCTACATGTATATTTGTATCTAATTAGATTATATGTATACTGCACTCCTATTACACAAACAAATATCTATAAGCATAAAATGACACAAAGAATGAATACTGAAGACATAAAAGATGAGTTGTTCTCAGTCTCTTACAAAAATATATAAACATTATATTGGCCTCATGATATGTGCCCTATACTTTGAAAAGGTGAACAATGTTACATGAGGAATAACCAGAGGTATAGGTAGGGAATGCTAATAATTCACAAATTTTCTATAGGTAAGACTTTCTGAAGCCGTGATCAATAGCACAGTACTGAATACTTATATAATACCCAAGTCGCGTCTAAGAGACCGACAATAGATGATTTAAAATCCTTCAACTTTATACAAGCTCAAAGTTAAATGTAAGTCCTCTAGCATTAGCTCATAAATAAATAAACAGATCAGCAACAGTTTAAGCAAATCTGACAAAAAATAAGAACATTACGTCTGAAAAATGTCATTAATTAAACAAATTCAATACATGGACCTCCATGGTTTACTTTACCATTTGTTCTGTTTTAAAAACTTAATAAATTTCTGTTATCTTTGCAGCAACCACTTAATTACACCATTACACATATATGCTCAATATATTCCTTCATAATTTGGAATTTATTTTATGACAATTTCAGTAGAAGAAATGGGAGAGTTGCTCCCATGGCATATCTTATACATGTACTAACTAATTTTGTATTTGATCGATTACAAATGTTAAATTTACATCTTTCTTTTACTTTGTCGAAAATCCCTCACACTCTCTGTTTCTCTATTTTTTGTTTTGTTAAAACAAAAATATCTAGTTAGAATTTTCCTTTAAGGATCACAAAATAATAAATCAAGATGAAACTCTATAGGCAAAATCCAGCTTGCAAGGTGAAAAGAGATTTCTTTGATTTTCTCTCCTATTTGGGGGCAGAATGTTAGAGGTACACCAATGAGATGTACATTTATGCCTGCCATTAAGTAAATTTCTTTATAGAAAAAGAGACATCCACACACAAAAAAACAGCATTCCACACAATAGTTATTTATAGAGTGTACAATGTATGTCCAAAAAAGAGGAGATTTTCAGCCACTTTGATATTCAACCCAAAAACCAGAGACTACCCTATTTCAGGTTTGAAATGTCAAAAATGTAAATTAGTGCTATCATGTGAAACAAAGGTCTTTAAACATGCAAAACTCCCTCAAACTTAGGTCCCGTTGGATTAACCTTACCACCCATGGTAACTTTGCCTTTGATATCAATTACCATGGCAACATCGTTCAATAGCCCTGCAATCAAATCAAGATTTTCATGAGAGTTACCTTTAATGGCGAGCTTTATGCAATGGGGCTCACATTTCAAATCATTGCTCAAACCCTGCTAGGATGCCCTTAAAATTAGTCCAGCGGATTTCAAAATATAAAATGTATTGATAATAACACGTTGGCAATAACCTTTGGGATGTCTGTAAATGTTTATCCATCAAAATAACCTGAACAATTTGAAAGAAATTCAAGATTGATATCTTGTTTGGTGTTGGTGATGGTTTCAAACAGCAAATGACAAGGCTCATATTTTTTTTGTTTAAGAAGTAGTACAACTGTACACTAAGATATGACACTCGCAGACCTTCAATAACCAATGTGAAAAGATGAGATGTCAGTTTACATAAACACAAACAAATAAAGGGGGCAATGGATCCCCCCCCCCCCCCCCCTCCGCACAGAATATTTTTTAATCAAAGGAAGAAAAGGACAAATTTATATAAAATAAATCCATGTCACTGGGTTGTAATGAATACTATTTTATCTAAACACAATATATTAGGCAGACAGCTATCCCTTTAATTGAAGAGAGGACACCCTGCATCAGGCACCAATACCAGACAGGCAGTTAAGAAATCAATAACTAACAATCAAGGTGTATACATTACATACCTGTGCATTTGGAATATGGAATACCTGTACAGAAAATATCACTTTTGTTTTCTAATCAAGGTGCAATTCATATGAAAGTAACAAGTAGACAAGTAGCAGACTTTGTGCAGAAAAACACACAAATTATCTCCTTTTTGACCAAGTGCGCCCATACAAGATACAGTAGCCTGTGCTATAGTCACACATTTGGCATAATAATGCTATTTTAACAGTGTCTTAAAAAAATTGCAATTAAATTCAAAATTAAAACATGCTGGGTGTTAATTTGAAACTTGAACGGGAGAGGGAAAAAATGCAAGGTCTTACACATGGATAAATTAAATAGACCAGTACATGTACACGTACACTGTACATGGGGGCCTACAGCCCAATACAAGCTAGCTTTCAAGTACTGTAGGTCTTATAATATTCCTCTCAGTTAAATCAGTACTCTATATTGACCACTTTATCTTTATATTATTTATGTATGTATCATTAATTGTAATTTCATCACAAACAAAAAAACTTGTACGGTACTTTATTTTGAAATGTATATGAGGAATATGAAAATAAATGAAATGAAATTTTTAAAAAATGGAGGTTAAAACTTCACACAAACAACGTAGTTCAGAGTAAAATTTTACAAAATTTGTTTGTACAAATATACTCTGGACGCATTATACTACTTAAGTAGCTCTTTGCTACTCAAACTATTGTTATGTCTGTGCTATTTCACTAAAAAATACACGTCATGTACATGTGAGTGTATGTTAGAATATTGAGTTGTTTAAATTGAATCTAGCTGAGTTGAATACATACAAATATGGCAAAATGTTTGTCCTGGCAATGACTATATTATAAAGTAAACTTGTTGAAATCTTGGAATGTAAATTCTTTTCTTGGTAGAATATATAATCTTTTCAGATACAGCATAGTTAATAGTACATGTATGTAAGCACACAAAATTGGGTACATGTAGCACTAGAAGTAGTAGCACACTATCACATCACTTTATCCAAAACACAAATAAAAAATATCAATTGACAATAATTAAAATTTCATTTCCTGAATACAGTTACAGACAATATCTGATCTAATACTCTTTTGTAAACCTATCTACGAGTTGGCATGTCATACTGAAGATTGCTGATTACATTCGTACATTGCACTTGGTCTGATCCTGCGTCTTGTCCTTCCTGGCAGGTGTGGCAAGAGCTTGAATGTCTTTGGCGCCAGCTCGCGGCACGCTTCCCGGAACTTCTTTATACGCCAGCAGTAAATGATTGGATTGAACGCAGAGTTGAGGTACGTGAGCCACAGCACTATGGTGTGCATGACGTCACCTCCTGTCCGAACTGAGAAATGGTAGACTAATCCGCTGATGGCGTACGGCGCCCAGCAGACCACGAACACGATAAAGAGCAGCAAGATGGTGGTGAACGCGCGCGTCTTGAAGCTCATGTCGACATTGACACGGGAGGGTCTGTGTAAGCCGGCCAAACCGAGCTTGGTGGCCTGGCTTATGCTGAGCGACTCGGGATGGTTTTGTATCCGCAGCGAGTTGCGTCTCACTGTGTTGAGGATGAAGAAGTACGCGAAGAGCATCGCCACGAAGGGGATGAAGAACACAGCCAACATGAGGATGATGTAATATACTTTGTCCGCCAACCCATCTGTTTCTACCCAGCACTGGGGAGGTCCAGGCCCCCTGGGGAAGGCATACTCCCCCCAGCCGATGATCGGCGGGAACGCAACCACAAAGCTACAGAACCAGGACAGAAGTATCAGAAGCTTGGCCCTGTGCGGATTCAACTTGTCTTTGCGGTGGACGATGATGAAGTACCGATCCACCGATATCGTGGCAAGAATAAATGTGGCTTCTGAGATGAAGAGAAAATACAGAAATGCCGTTATCTGGCACATGATGTCACCTAGTATCCACTCACCTAGCACGAGGACAATGAGCGCGAATGGCATGCAGGTCACGGCAATCATGATGTCGGCAAAGGCAAGGTTCGCTAGGAGAAGGTTGATGGCTGATCGCATGGCTGGCTTCTGGTACACAATCAAGCACACAATGCAATTCCCTAACACAGCGATCATGATCATCAACACCATAGCCATGCTGAGGATGATGACTGCACCTAGCCCCATTGGCAGCTCAGGCTGCATCGTGTTAGAGTCGTTGCCCAGAGACATAGTAGAAACGTCAGTAGTCAGCTCCCATGGCAAACTGCTTGTTGACACCGTGGATTCCGTGGAGGCAGCCGTTGAGAAGAGTGCAGTGGTGGTGGTGGCAGTGGTTGTGGTCTCCATGGCGACAGGAGGTGGTGGCACCGGAATGCTTCCGACTGGCAAACTTCTCAGAAGCGGGCTCCACAAGTCAAAGATCATTCCTCTCAGTTAATGTCTCACAATGGCAAGAGTGACATCTTTCATAATCAATTTTTACTCTGTACTTGTCCAATGTAATCACTGGCTCTCACAAAAACATATTTTTGAAAGAATTTTCTTCCCTTTTTCATCTTTAGTGAACACAAGACCACTCTCTCAACAGGTACTTAACTTGGGGGGTAATGAGACCCCCTGTTGGGTTTAGCACACGGAATACCTTCACGTACAGGTATACAATGAACAAATGTAATACTTCATATCCACAAAACATGTTAACTTTCATAGCCACTTTCCAGAATGGATAAACTGGATATCCATGGTGGAAATTGCACTCTTCCTAGAGCTCTTTGTGCCAAATAAGTGTAGAATTCATCTACATATACTTGAATTTAGAATTAAAAAAATCAGAAGTATTGATTGAAAATATTTAAAACTATTTCTGCATTTATATCAAGACTACCTTAATTAGTGCCATGATTTTACTGTCCAAACTTTCTGAGATGTAAACATATATTCATAGAGGAATTATTTTGTCCACTCAAGGTACATGCATGTATAAATATTTGGAGCACCAACAACAGTGTCCTAAATGTCCAATCTGGGCTTTAACATGTCAGAATAACAGGAGATATATGATCTTCATATAAGATCAACAGCAAATGAAAATTCATATCATTACAGGTATGATTACGTTTTCTTCATACCACATGAACAAGCATACAATCTAATAAGAAATACCTTACTGCAAAAATAGAAATCTTTCTATGGCACTTTTTTATGTCCTCAACAGCACTGGTATGAAACACAATTGATGATAATTAAACAGGTGCACATGTACAAATAGCAATGCAACAGGAAACTGAACCTTTTAATATGCACTAAAAAAATACTTTAGATCAAATAAGATATCTATATATGACCCATTTATATCTAATAATCTATATTTGGCAATGATATGACACAATAAATATTGATGATCAAAACACACTAGCACACAATCTACATGTATACGGACATGTACCGGTTCTACATTTAGTCTTTGTTTATTAAATTAATCATAATTGAATGTCAATGTTTGATTATTCTTCATTAATTGCAGTCTCCTAACTACTAGTAACCCTTTAACGATATATCAGCAGCCACCTAAAATTGTCTGAAACAAACTTCCTCTTGTTTTTTTCTGAGTGTGTAGCAGTGTGTGCATTTTTTAAAAATAGAAATAAAAACCATCAATTTCTATACATATGCACATGTATCTCCTTCCACATACTTTCTTTAATTTATCTATCAGAGACATACAAACTGAATATTCAATCAAGAAATTTTTTGCAAATTCTTTCAGCTTGAGCACGGGCATCAACTGGCATCACTGAGTTGTAGTTTACTCCTCTTTTCATGTCCTGTTCACTCTTAGCCAAAACATGAAGATAGGTGCATTTCTTTCCCGTGTGATGACAGCTCTCCAGAATCTTTCAACAATGACTTTTTGATCATGCGATGAAATGATGCAACCAAGACTCCAATTCCCTGGCAAGTTGCACTGCTTCCTAATATAACATGAACGTAAATTAATTTTGATGAATTTGGCAATGAGTTGTAAGTAATGAGTTGTACGAAATGTCTTTGTAGATTTATGTTAGAGGTACGTCGCATCAAGGTGTATTGCTTTCGACATCAGCTAATCAAACAGAAAATTCCTGATGTGAAGCAGCCCATCATTTACTTCTATATCTTCTGGTAAAAGTAGAGGTCACAACTGCCAACTAGTTGGGCAGCTGAACGTTTTGTTTTCCAGCGTTTGTAGAGCACATGGATTTGGAGACAGGTGCAACAAATGTCTATGGAACTACATAGACGAGCATCTCCCGCATGAGGTGTCTTTGCATTTCTGCAAAATCAGAGTTTCAGGCCAGGGCAGGAACATCTATAAGGTGTGGCAGAAATCAGATCATTCAGAGTTTCTTTCTTGCTGCTTTCTCCCTGGATAGCAATTTTTTTACAATTTGAGCTCATCAATAGGGGAGAAAGAGAGATCTAATTGCTTGAATGCTTCCGTTCATCAGGTGCTGCGATATGCTTGACTTCCCAGCATGCTCATACAAAGATTATATTCAATCTCTGAACTCTGTCTTGAGAAGAACAAAAAGACAGATCCAATGGGCTCTGGTCACAGATCTCACCGAGCATCACAGATCAGAGAAACCTGCAGAGACGAGAATAAAAGGAATGGAACAAGTGAAATATGTATTAGACTAACAGTGGCAAAGTTGCTGAAGTGACAATAACAACAACATCATTAAATAGAAAAATATTACATGTTCATGCCAATGTCATAATAAAAGAAACTCAACATAATAAAAGAAATTACTTGTGTGAGTTTCTGTTATTTTAAATTTCAGTTCAGGGAGAATTTCTCAATACAAAAGGAGCATAAATAAGAAACGATCTTCACTTTAAAATATTATAAAAGTTCTTCTCATCACAATTACTTTATTTGATTTAATATAATTAAATGCAAATGATGACTAGTGGTCCTTATGACTAGCGAGGTTACCCCCTTCAGGACTTGATGCTACATTTACCCGTAGGCTACATGTATGTTTCCTCGCACATGAATGCACATGAATGCATGCCCAGCTATTCTGAATACAATCAGAATGACATACATTAAAGTGGGTAACTTATATCGGGTAAATATTCAATACTGTGTGGTCGGAATACACATGAATGTAGGTGGAGTTGAGACTTTTTGACTATTTTTTTGACAGATACTTCCCTTGTAAACTTTGGCCTATTATCATTTATAAGCACTGTTGCTCTAGCAAAAAACAAGGAGGTAGATCGACGTACATGAACATGAACACTAATAATAATAATAATAAAAACGTTACTTATAAAGCGCTTACCACTGAAGTCTCTAAGCGCTATTTAACAAAATAGACTGATAAACAATTACATATAAAACAAAACCAAAAAGTGCAATTAAACCACTACATGTACATGTACATATTTGTAAATAAACATGTTTATAAAATGGCTCTAGTATTTTAAGCATCGTGATTGGTCAATACGCGTCACATGACATTGACAAATTTTTGATGCAAGCACGATTTTGCAGAAATGAGTGCAGAAAAAGCGCAACAAAAAGTTATATTGCACGTGACCATGGAGATCCAGTGCGCGCGCGTACGTGTAGTACGCGCTCCCTCGAATGCATTGCAATTATTGTAGGCTACGCGTAGCTAATATTGTACGCTCCACCATGATCCCCAGCGCAACGTACGCGTAGCTTAGCTCTAGCATGGACTTACTAGACATAAAAAGCAAATTTTTATTTTACTTTTGCCTTGGATTTAGGCTTGTTTTGACTTTTGGATTTTATAATGAAGCCAGGAATTTCAGCTGTCTGATGTAGATTCGTCTCTAGACCCACTGTAGATCTAGACCTCTGTGGATTTTATTTTTAATCAAGGCAATGAATCCCATTGACTTTTTGGTAAGCTAGCTGCAAGGTCTTAGTCTAACTGTTAGAACCAACCTAACTCTAGATCTAGATCGAACACTCTAACTTAAGATCTAAAGTTTCGTTTGTTGCTATTTGTGTCGCTATTTTATAAAACAAATAACGCACTTGACTAATTGTGCGAAACGTAAATGCAGTGTACGCTCGGTTTCTTCAGATGGTTCGCACTGTCAACTCGCCGCAAGCGGCTCGTTGCACAGAGCGGCACCAATCTAAAGAAACCACGCGCGTACTGCATTCACCGCTATTGCACTCTGGGACGTGCATTATTTGTATAATATTTACACATTTGTACAGTGTAGGTGTGCTTTTTTGTATGTTTTAAACTAAAGGTACACTGTACATGTTCAAGGACATGAAGTGTGATTTCTTTTTACATGAAGTGTGATTTCTTTTCCTTTTTCCATAACCATACATGATGTGTCCACAATCACAATGTGCATGCTTCATGCTAAAAGCCACTTTTAATCTAAATATTTGAGGAGCTACAACGTCTGTCTGAAAGAAAAATGTACTTAGATCTAGATCATGATCAACAGTATACATGTAGGAACAAATACAAACACACACGCAGACACATTATGTTTGGACCAGACATCTGATGCTCACTTTATCTTATATACATTGTACTGTGAGGTAATACAATTAAAGTGACTTGGTAACATTGTTGAAGGTTGATGAAAAAATTGCGTCCAGTATTCGGTCAACGCATTGATATTCATGCAGTGCTTTATCGCGCAATTGTGTGAAAATAGTGCGCAAATACGCTCGCTCCTTGGCAACGGAGTTACCACACACAAATCGTGTGACAGAATTCTGGGCAGAAAAATGCTCTTCCTTCTTTCGGAAGTATTTTGCTTATCATCATTATATATTTTAAGTGACTATAAAATCCTGTTAGAGGAATAAGTTTCTTTTCTTTTGATGGGTAGATTAATTGCCAAATAAAAGAGGTAAGAATTCAAAATATTAGCGATTTCCCCTAAGTGACCAGATACTGGGCGCTCTACCCTACCAACTGATTGTATCTTGCCTTGCAAATATTATTAGGCCTAGACCTATTAATTTTGATGAATCATATTTTTTGATAAATCACCTGTGAAACCCCCATAGACTCTATTTGAAGTTAGGTCTCGTTGATTTTATGACTTTTTTAGATGCAGCGCGCACGCACGATCGGACATCCAATTTTTAGATCGCGATATCTCTGAAATCCTTCGACGATAAATTTTCCAGTTGAACCAATCTGTAGTAAAAAAATTTGCCGTCCATTTTGTAATAATTGAAACAAATAAATTTGTGTAGAATATGAGAAATCATAGATCGAATATCACATTTTGTAATAATTTTCTAACTGGTCACCCCTTCTTCATACAGTTGACTGATTTGTTAATATGCTAATGGTATTTTATCTCGATCAATTTCACCTCTTGCATAGGCCATGCACAAACACTTTAGCCAGCATTCACACTCACACAGTCCAATTTTACAGTTTGAAAGGGGTACGGTATTAGACTCAATCCCACTCTCAGCTAAACGAATCGGTGAAGAACACAAACAAACATGACACACACCAAAGTGCAGTGCCCGGCCGGCGGCCCAGACACTGCCAGACAAGAATGGACACTGCCACTGCCACTTCACATCGACATTCGACTCTCGACTCTTTTTTATTAGCTCCTCGCATTTTAGGCATCTAAACTGCTAAAGACACACACAACTTAACATACCTCTTTAGAAATTTTACACCTTTCTTTTGTGCCGTAAGAATCTGCATTTGTCATGATAAAAATGAGGAAAGTACACTTAATCTCTTTTTTTCTTCTAATCAGATGACGATAGTAGCCCAGACAACAAGAGGAATTTCCTACCATAAACAACGTACACGTACAGTACCGTATACGGTACAGTGCTTATTATAATTACATTGTTAGCCGTCCGATAAATAGCCCATTCTGAAGCCATACAACGCCCAAAGAAATATATCCGTATGAAACGCCACGATAGTTGGGTTTTTGTATGACTTTGATTATTTCCCAAATATATTTGCAGAAAAAACAACATTGAAAGTTGTCGACACTCAACATAATTGCACGAAACTAAACTCATCTAAAAAAAAAAAGGATCAGATTTTGGCCAATTTTCAAAAAAGGATAAATAAATGTACAATAATTATTGATCCAAATGGCTTGTCATAAACAGCTGAGCTGCAGGGCTTGCAAATGGGGCGAAAATAGACAGAATCATCCCGCAATCAAATTTTCTTTGTTAATGACCTCAATTGACCTTTCAATGCTCAAATCAAACAGCTGGGTTTCAGGAGCTAGGATCGACACATCATCGACATCGTGTTTGTGCAAAGGTTCTTCAGGGAAAGTGCAAATATTTCGGCTCTAAAGAAAAGTTTTTACGACGCATCTTTGAAAGTATTATGAAATAAAAAAATGTACCGTATGTCCTGAATAAAAAAAACTTTCTTTTTATAGTTTTACCAAAATATAAAGCGTATCAAGTTTACTTCTTTTGTCTTTTTTTATTAAAGGTTAGCATGCATGCAAAGGCTAGACAGGTGTGCATTTTGAAACGTCTTTTTTTTCATGGAAGGAGAGAGGGAGAGAGAGAAAGAGAGAGAGAAAGAAAGAAAGAACATGAAAGAAGGGGACGTGTATCAAATGTATGATGTATAGTTGCACCCAAAATGGTCTCGTATCCAATTACATCAAAACAGAAATTTGTTTTCCACTCTTGTTCCATAAATCTTAATACACACATATATGCCTATATATCTTTTTTTATGATGTGATTCTGAATATGCTTTGCAAAGGTTTTAGAGTGATTGATGTGAGTAGCTTCTTCTGTGGTAAAAAAATGTTTGAATCCTGAAAGCTCAGAATATCATGTATTTCCATGTAAATCCAGACCTAGCTGATCCACAAGTTATACAGCAGCATTCCCCAACCTATTCGCAATTGCACATATCTGTCCGTATTCAAACGATCTCTTTCACAACTAAATTAATTAAGGCTTCAATAGAATCTTTCTTTATTTTCTTTAAATACCATTGCTTTTTTTGTTTTGGTTTGTCTTATAGAAACACTTATCATTATAAGAGAGGGAATTGTGGTCATAAGGAGTTTACGACATGATTCCACATAAATGAAAAATGTTCATTCCTGAATGAAGAAAAAAAATGCACAATAAGCGACACATAAAAACAGCAGTGGTTAATATGTGCATGCATAATGGCATTCCCCATGACCCACTCCCCCCTGATCTAAAAATCCATAACATTCATAAATTAAAATAACAAGACAAACAAATACACACCCGGAATTTTGCCAATCCTGTTCTCATGTATCACATTTATGTGATCATTTAATTACTTTTTTTTCAGTACAACACGTAGCAAATACAAAACATTATAATTACACACGCACTCAAAATAATACACAGGTTTCACATTGCAAATTGTTATACTAATACCACTCAAAACGAAAATATCTCAGCAAGTTATCTAGTCAAAGTTGGGAAAAATCCTCTGCCAATGCATATTATATTATAATTATTACAAGTATCTTTGAATCATCAACAAACTGTTTTTCTTCAGCAGTCTAGTAACAGCAGTCTTGGGTAATGTATTACCTTCTAAAAGAAGAGTTAATTGATTTATTTCCAGATAATGCTTAACGTTCAAGGGAATGTCCAAAATGTATATAGGTTGACAAATATTATTCCATTCCATTCTACTCATCTCATACAACAGATCAGAATAGACAAATCTATATACATGTACATGCATCTAAAATGTTCTTGAGAAATAAGGTATCATAACCATGTATACCTCAAATGTTTCAGGGTGTATGTAGTAGTATGCTATGTCTATGAGATGAATTATTAACCAGGTACATGTTCTCAACATATACAAAGTTGAATTGTGTCTACCATTATTTCAAATGATGTAGCTTTACCGCTCATTTAAAATGAACCACAAAACAATGTAAATGTGTAAAGGAAACATATACAATTGCATTGACATTATAAACAGATCCACTACCAGATGTTTAAAGTAGATGTATTACATTATTTGAAATGAAGAAGACAGTATAATCCTCTGATCTACTGAATCCAAATGACATACACATTATGTCATTCTCATCTACATCGCCGCATCTGGTATGTACATAAACAATAGTTGTTTTAGAGACACATACATGTATAAATGACTTATTACCCAATACCAATCCTTTGCCTAGCAAAATAACCTGGACACAAAGAGGTGGAGACCAAAAGTAAATTGTGTAATGCACAGCCAAGTATGAACAGAAAAATTCATATGGTTGGAATAGTTTTGTAATATCCTTGGATGTTTGAGGCTCTTATCCAACAGGTGAGGGGGTCGGTGGAACTAGACGTCGTCCCAGCGGAACATATATCCCCAAATGAAATAGACTGTGACATTCCGATCTAAGCCCCTTAGTACTTTCCTTTACATGAAACATCCTTGTAAAATGTGAAACTATCAACAGTATTTTCATCTAGGAAGCTCAGTATAAAAAAAAACTCTCATGCAATTGATTATTTACAACAAAAACTTTTGAAGGCATGTAAGTTATTATAAATACATGAATAACAAAGGAAAATATTTGCACACTAGGAAAACAACCATTCGTTGTAATGATATTATTTGTGGATGAGAAAGATCCCTGAAATATCTTGAATACAGGGTGTTGTAACAAGCACAAACTTCGAGCAATTAGTATTACAGTGCACTGTGTACTTGCTCATACTTTTCTTCTAAACAAACTCGACTGAGCAAGGAGACCCTCCACAAAGACCTACAAAACTCATCTTTCCTTCCAAGGCAAACATTATCAGATACAGGCCTTGGCCCACATTCACAAAACCTCACTAAGGTAGTTGTCAACTAGATATATCGGCTATATTACGTAACAAGTCGACAACTAAGCTTAGTAAAGAAATTATGAATATGAGCCCTGACCTTCAAATGTGCAGAGAAAACAGAGGGGGTGGCGGAGTATCATAGGGGAAGGGGGGGGGGGGCAGAGGCAGACAAATACATTTCAGAGCTAAAAACCCCTTGTCTTGCCAAGCTTAAAATAGAATTGTGCAGGACAGAATCCTGACTGCTGTACTGCTTCTTCACTGAGAAATGTCCAGGACTTTTTAAATGATAATTTAAGACTACATCTCGACGTTGGGTTTTACAAGCGGTGATGCTAATCGTCATCGTTATCTGCTCCGCCTGGTTGCCTGGGCTTAGGCCCTCCTGCTTGTTTGGCCATGATGATCTGAAAGAATTCATCAAAATAGAAAGCATGATAATCAGTGATCTAGCAGCAAAGGCACACATATTATACTGTATATTTCATCTCAATACTTGAATCTGAATGAGCGGGGCATGATACTACCAAAATAAAGGGGAATATGCAAATATGCATTCTTTGCGCCTGATTTACAGCGCTTTTTACCCCCTTGTTTGGAGGGCACCAACTATTCTTATAACAAAAAAACAAAATTTGCTACAAAAACAGAAACTTTCACACACTGTAAAATAGGGCCATTTTTAGGTGGATAGAATTTTTTGCACGAATGGCAAACTTTCAGCGTTGAGATTCATTCATTTTCAAAGACAAAAAACGTTAACAAGTCTTAAAGCTTATCAGTACTAGTATAAAGGAGGGTTTAGACCACACTGCAAGGTCACTGGGCAGGTGGTTATCTCATCAACTCAGCTCTCAGTTAACATAAGAAAAAGAGGACCAATGGTCACCAATTAGGCATTGTTTGTTATATAGCTAAGTAACTACAAGTTGTGCAGTGGGCCTTTAAACACAATCAAAATGGTATAAGTTTCTTGCAAGCAAGTCCCTGGTTTTACGATACTACATAGCACACTGAAACTAATTGAAATGTGTTTGTCCTGATCAACCCTTAGGTCTGAGATGTTGAAATGTTTGAGTAATCTGTGAATGGTTCGGATTCATCAAAGCTTATGCCATGAAATATTTGAATCACAACTGCAACTCTAGATTCTTGCACAAGGAAAAAATTAATATTTATTTTTCAGGGGCTACTTTTCAAGCTTGCCTGCATAAAAATAACACCCTAAAATTTGTTTTGCATAGAACTCCATGCAAATTTACGGGGGCTCTTTTCTGATTTTCTGGGGCTCTTTTGGGCATTTCGGGGGCAAATTCGCCCTGAGCCCCCTGTGTATTTTTTTCACTGTTCTTGCAATTAAGTCATTTAAATCACAGCTGATGCAACATTCATTCTTCTAATTTGTGAAAGTTTCTTGTCATTTTAACAGCCGTTATCTACACATTTCCTTCCCCTGCTCTTTTATATCTCCTGCTAGTACATCCTTTCATTTAATGTACATAAACGAACCAATATAATTATGTTGTATTGTCAATATGTTACTGATTTATTTATGTTTTGTAATACTATTGTACATGTATATATATATATATATATATATATACATCAATGTACCTTTGTAAATTGACCCTTCAGCCTTGTGCTGCTGGTCGATCATTATATACCAATAAATAAAAGTAGCAAAAGTTTCATGTAGTGAAAAGGTGTTTTTAATTTAACATTATATAGCACACTGAGGAAATGAATTGAAGTTTGTTTGTACCTGATCAACTCTTAAAACAGTGATGGCTGCATTGGTAGCCAGCTTGATAGCTGTGCTCTTGGTAAGGTAGGCATCCATGATACCAGCTTCTACCACATCCATTACTTCTGCACCCTCAGCCTACAGGAGAAAGATAAATAACAAAAAAACATTGAATTGGAAACAAATACCTCTGCTCTCCTGATTTATTCTGACTTATTAATATTCATAAATCCACCATTAGGACTATAGCTTTACATGTTAGGGTTCCTGGGAGAAGTTTCACTTTTCGTAAATTAATTTTTGGCTTGCACCAAGTAATAAAGATTGCGTGCTTGATTTTTAAGTTGAAAACAAGTCAGAAAGAAATTGTGAAACCAGGGGGAATTGAACCTGCCATCTAGTGCTTGCCGAGCGGGGACTCTAACACCAGGCCATCACTGGCCATTGACACATAATGTCCATCAGTTTATTGGTGCATACATTAGTTGGTACATCATTTTTCTTTCAAACTAATGAATAGCTTTAATTTTTAAAACAATAACTCAATTTACCGAAATACAATGTTTTACTAAACGAAATAGTCAACGAAAAATCACATCTGCTTATAACATCTGCTCATAACAGAATCACCAAAAAGTTTTATCTTTTATGAGAAAAAAAAAGAACACAACTGTTAAACTTGGTCATAGAAAAAGAATTTTTTTTTTTTTTTGGGGGGGGGGGGGGCGTAAACATAGCAGCATTGCATAAAGCAGTCAGAAGTCCAAGTTTGGATGCGAAAGTTCTATGTGGTTGAATGAGCAAGTGTGCGCTTGTAAAATGGCGACTGGCTGGAATGCTCCCCAGGGAGTGGAAAATGTGCATACATTGTGTGCGGGTAAGCCTGAATCCAATGACCAGGTAATAATATATCTGTAAAACGATTAGGCACATCGTTTTATTTGGCGCTTTATAAAAGCGGAATATTATTATTGGCATAAAAGCATTTTGGTGAATTTGGACTTGAGATGATTCGATGCCATACTAATCAGTAATCACTAGATACTCACCTCAATATCGAATCCTGCATTCTTCTGCCCGTCCTGGTGAGCCGCATACAGCTTAGAGAGAAGCTCGGTGGCCTTCACACCCGCATTCTCTGCCAGAGCTTTGGGCATGGTCTCAAAGGCCTGGGCGTACTGCTTGACAGCGTACTGGGCCAGCCCTGGGATGGTCTCACTGTACGAAGCCAGCTGGTGAGCTAGCTCCACCTCAGTCGCACCTGCACCAGGAACAAACTTGTTGTCCTGTATAAAGGGATAGGAGGTAGAGGAATGAGAAAGACATGTGGGTCGGTGCTAGTCAATAAGGAATATGTAAAATCAGGCACAATCAGGTTTACTGCAGGAATTTGGAAAGAGTTAATACCAAAAAAAATGAATTACAATTTTTTTTAATCCTTTAATATTCCATGATAAAATCCATCATTTGATCCTCGCAAATGACAAGAGAGTACTTTCAAAACACAAAAATTTGTTGGAAATGTGTCCCAATTGTTTCATTACTGCATTTCCTTTTTCGCTGCTCTATTTCCTTTGGGCGAGTGCATCAAACATGTCATTTTTCCAAAGAACATATTGGAATTTGTGACTTTGCTTATCTTGGACACTAATCCGTTGGTTTTGCATCATTAACCACAAGAATGTCAAATGGTATTTCTTTGCATATCAGGTGCAGAAACTCAAGAATTTTTTTTAATTTTGTGAAAAATCAGAATATTGAATTGAATTGAATTGAATTGAATTGAATTGAATTGATTTATTGTCCATAATATGGAAATTCATTGTTCACTGGTACAATTGTGTGTTACAAGGAAATGTACAAAATTAAACAGATTATAAAACATAATAACAACATAACATCAATGGCGTTTCATATAAGACTAGCAAGGCACATAATTGAAAGGAATTTTTGTAATTGTGACACCACTCTCCTCCTCCTGTGACTGAGTTGCCAATTTGAGTATACATACCTTTGTAAGGGCCTTGTAGGTATTGACACCGTCATCAATGGCACGCTCAATGTCATCCATGATGTTGTCAGTAGAACCTCGGACCACCAGTGTGGAGATGGAATTCTCTGCAGACTCTGTATGGGGGAAGACAGGACATTTGCAATAAAATTGTAATCTAAAATTTGAGTGAAACAATTATCCAACAACTTTAAAATATTTTCAACTTCATATTTGTAGGATTGAATACGATTGCTCACCAAATAGAAACTTTCATTTTGTAATCGAAAGAAGAAAAAAAAATCATCCTTTATCAGCTACTTTGCAGAGAAACACCTCAGACTTTAATCAGATGATTAAGGTGATTTTCATGAGAGCAATATCCTGTGATATACCATCTAAATAAATAGATGTCCTCTGTTTAAAACACTGCTTTGTTAATACTTGTTTGTTATGAACTTACTGTATCATATTCTTCTTTAATCTAATATATGATGCAATAGCATTGATCAGGCAATTTGGGAGTCATACGTAATCACTATTTTTCGGTGGATGTATACGCATAGCACCAGGGATACTTGTTGATCCACATTATGAGAGTGAAAAGAGACTTATTCATGCTGAGAGTCCTACATGTTTGGTACAAAATAAAGCCTATACAAGCCTGAAATGGGAAGGAGCCACGGCCTGAAAACTGGCATCTCTGAAAGGACAGGTTCTTAAAGCCCCACAGCACTGCTTATAGCTACTTACACCCTCTATATAGCAAACAATGCCTAAGCGGTGCCTGCTGGTCCCCCATGATCCCCTTTTTCTTATGCTAAATGAATTCTGATTTGATGAGATGAGATCAGTGACCTTGCAGGGAGGTCTAATCCCCCCCTAGCCAAACAAGTGCAGACGGGCTTTAATAAACCACCTACAGCAAATATGAAAGTCCTCCCTTCCTGTATTGTACAAATGGTAGAGCGTGTGTCTGTCTACAAAAGGAACAAACCTTGTTTGAAGATGATGACGGGTGTATCTCCGACCTCATCCGAGAAGACGTTGTCACAGTAACCCATCTCCTGGGACGTGGGCGGGGTCTAAAGCGATGCAGAGAGAGATGATGAAAGAAGTATTATTTAAGGGTGAGGTTGGGAACTAAAATGTGTATCAGTGTTGGTTTGAAAGCTAATGCTGGGCTCTGCTAAAAGGTGCAGACATTCATAAAATTCACTCATTTATTTTTCGTCTAATAGGAAGGAAAACCTAACAGCAAAAGCTGATTTCCATAGAATTCTGATCTTTGAACATATTTTTGAAAAAGTCAAACTTGCAACTTAGAGTTACGTGCATAACATTCAAATGAATTCAATACATTGCCAATGAACACAAGGCAGGTCCTCTGTTAAAGCCCATTGGTCTAAATCAAAATCAGTAAAATGAACAACCATACAAAAAAAGAAGTCTTCAAAAGGAGTATATTCATTCTAGTACCCTAAACCCAGAAATAATATGAGTGAATTGCTTCAGGTAGGTTAAAAGAAGATTGGAGAATTAATTATACAGAACATGCTTTAGACACTAATCGACCACTTTCATAGACCTAACCGCATTTTTATGAAAATCACCCCTACATCAAGGTTACTTGATTTTAAGCATTTCACCTTCAAACTACTTCAAATCAGTTTTCTGTGATGAAAATTGTTTGAACTCACCATGCGAGGGAGTACTGTAGCACGGACTGTACGAGCCAGACGTCGGAGGTCAAACTTGGAGTTCAACCTGACTGCCATGAGGTTGTACTTGTTGAGGAAGTGAAGGGCCATGTCGCCAACCTTGCCACCGGAGACCACCACGGTCACACCCGTATCAGCAATGCCTTTGATTTGCTAGGGGTTTGACAGAAAGTAGAACAATGATTACAAAACTTAAATTTAGTTTTTAGTTTACTTTAGTGGTGGTTATTTTACCGGACTGCTATGAAAGCATAAATGCTTGTAAAGAAAGCAACTAGACAACCGACGGCTTTAGGTCCTCTCCGAGGGGCCTGGTAATGAGGATTAATGCCTTACCAAAGGGCACTAGCGGATCGCCTTGGTTTCGACCCTGGTCACCGGATTACGAGATCACTGCTCTACCGACTGAGCTATCGCGCCTCCTGACCATGAGATCATGATTTTATTGCTTCTATGAACGTACGACACATGCTCAATTGACCACTGGCTGGGCGGTGGTCAATTTCCTACACTCACCAAATTCCTAGATTCAACCCTGGGCCAAACACTATACCCAACTTGACCCGAACTCTAAACCGAAGGCCAATTCTAACCAGAATCATACGCATGTAAGTGTGAGAAAATAAGACCCGGAGCAAATGTCGGATCACCCCTCAAAACCGACATACTGAAGTTGGTCAGGGCATTAGAATATTAGCCAAAGTTCATAACATTATCATTAATAATCAAAATACTAATCATTCTGCCCTAACGCCCCTAAGAGTGACTGGTTATAAGTTATGGTTCCTGAGGTAACATGACTATAACTAATTTTCATAGTAAGTGCAGCCCCTAACCAAAATGGTTGTCTGCATGTCATCAAGGTAGCATATTTTAATCAGAAACTTGAATCTGGGAACAAATATTTGTTTTATCTTTAACTAAAACCTTCATAAACTGATGATCATCTGCACTGTATGGTACCACACACAGAGACAATGTTGAAGAAGTGACGAATTAACTCTTAACAACAAACACATGATGATGACATAATCACATGACCATGCCTAAACAATAGAAACAGAGAACTTTTTTATGTCAAAATTTGGTTCGTAACTGTTGGGTGTGATGTCATACACAAGGAACAGTATTCATGAATAGCACTACTGTAGACGGATCGTGATCGTGCTACCCATAAGGCTGAAATAAATACAAGTCATTAACTTACTGTTTCTAATGCATCCTCCTCTCCTTTACTGTAGTTCATAAGTTCAGCAGCTGATTTGATTAATACAGTCCCCTGCAAACAAAATGAAACAATAAATAAATAAATAACCAACTAGAAAACTTGAAGAGCGGTTACATTCATGGTGCTGCATCATGATGAGACAATTGATTAGCGAATAATGTCCCATGATAATCCATACAAGGTAGTACAATTAAAAAGAATAGATGAAATATTTACACAATGTATTGCACGAGTGGGTAGCAGCCAAATAAGGGAAGCCCTTATAAGCGCCACCCAACCCTAGTGAAATTCCAATGGAGAAAACAATATTGTAATTATTCATTAATGTGAACATTAATGGACACCTTATTACCCCATCACAAGCAAGCAACCAAAAAGTGGCAATCTTGCAGACACATTAGGGCACCCATTTCCACCTGGGTGGAGAGTGGCAAATATGGATGAATGGGCTGGCCAAAGGACGTTAGTCCCAGGTTGGCATTTGAACCCTCGAACCTTGAATTGGGGGTCAAGTGAATGAACCACTACACCACATTTACAGCTGGGTGGAGAGTGGCAAATGGGGATTAATGTCGTGCCAAAGGACATTAGTGCCAGGCTGGCATTGGAACCCTCAACCCTAGAATTGAGAGTCAAGTGAATGAACTACTACACCACTACCACACCTTTACGAGTGGTAATGCTTCAGGGTCTATTAGCCTACCTTGGTCTCTGTGTGCGCTGATTCGACAGGGCAGGAGTAGACGGCAATCTTGGCTTTGGCTGTATGATTGAGGGTACCCTCTACATACTTCTTGAAGACCATACCTTGTAAGACAGACGATCCAAGAAGACCGGAACCCTGTAAAAGCAAAGAACATTCAACTTGATTTGAAAGCAATCTTAGAGTTAATGCGGTAGGTTAATATTACTGGCTCGTTCAAAAAAAGCTACGGTAAATGTCAAGGTTTTTCTTTGTGTACTAATGAATGGCACGAGAGGATGAACAAAGTAGCTGTGTGGAACAAAAGTTCTATGCTTAAAATATGCTTTAAAATACATTTTTAGCAGAATACAGCCATCGTGGTTCGTAAGTTTGTTTTCTCTTAGGAAGTTATACCATGATTTGTGAGATTTTGCTAAGACTATCACCATGTGTTGACTAATGGGGAAAAGCAGGTTGCAAGAACACCAATTTAACATTGAATTGCGTTTATCTATATCATTTTCATTGTATTTCCTTGTTATCAAACATGCTTTTAGTGATTACATCGTCTATTTGAATCTACAAGAGCGTTAACTCATTCACATTTACACCTGGCCTTGTCTTATCAAATAAATTTCAAGTCCTCCAATCAATTGCAAGTTTGCAGTCTCCTATATGTTATCGCAAATAAGTTGTGATTAATATCAACTCTTTATAGACGGGGCCCAGGTCAATGCCCTTCTGACTCCAAATGGATATATTTTGTTCCATTTGTACTTGTATATTTATCGGGGATGCAGACCTTTCAAACCCTCTCCTGCAATCCAATCTGACACTTTTAAAAAAGACAAGAAAAATTTACCCCTCATTACTTACCAAGATTTTTGCTACCCTGACGTTATCCACATTGAAAGTTGAAGTCTTGGACATGACTGAAACTGTAGAGAATTACAACAGTGTAATATAATACTGCTAAGTAAAAATTGAATACCAGTGGGTTCAATATCCAATATTAAGAACATAAAATTGCACTTCAAAAACATACTGCAGATTCGGGAGAATGTTTCCGAAATATCTAGTGTTCCTCTTACTAGAAATCTATTATCAAAATAGTGTTGAGATAAAGATTTGTGGTAAGAAAAGTCAGTGGAATTACAAAAAGAGATAAACAATGGGAAAGCAGAGAGGGGGCAACCAACACATTTACAGGATACAAATTACTTTAAGCGATTTAGCTATAATGGAAGGGGGGAGACTGATATGTTTTTTTAAGTGGAGAAGTTTTTTAAAATATAGTAGAAATGGGGAACAGAGTACAAGAGTGAAATGATTAAGGGCCTAAGAACTTTGTACACATAAACAGAGATGCCAAAGAACTCTAAAGCCAGAAATGTTAATGTGTAGTTTTAATAGTCACAACTGACACAACTATGAATTTTCACACAAAACATCCCGTTAAAATCACTCTAATGTACAAGCCGTGAATGTTTTGTGTTGTGAAAGTGTCTGGTGTTATAGTAGTACTGTGATAACTTACTGCAGGCCTGTGCGATCATCTTCGCTAGGAAATCCTCGTTGCCGTACTGTTTGCTCATGACTGACGTCCTGATGGCTTGTGTGACCTCTTGAGAATTCCTCAAATCTTTGATGGTTCCACAGACAAGTTCTAATAACAGGGATACAACAAATATACCACTGAACGAAACAACATGATCCCGGACCACAATTACACTTCTCACTCATCTCTGACCAGCTTTAAATGCAAAGATATAAATTTTAATATAGCTTATTACACAACAGAAATAATCATGCCTTAATCCCAAATGTATGAAAAAAAGACTATACTGGATAAACAAGATTTCTCACTGTTTGGACATGAAATTAACAGCAATTCTTGATTCATATCTATGTATCCTGATTAAACATTTTACAGCGTGCCTTTTTCAATATTTAGAGTAATGATGAAACCAAAGTACTGAGCTAAAACAGAATTTGATTGAGTTTGTTGTTTACATACCTGGTAAGATTTCTAGGGTTTTCTTCAGCGCAACCTCGTAACCCTCAATTACTTCTGTTGGTGAAAGTCCCTGAGAAGAAAATGGAAAGAAAGACAACATATTAGCGATATTTGTTCCAACAAAGATACAGTATGTGAATGTATTTTGGAATGATGCAATTCATTTTGGAATGTTGTACATTTCTACAATTTTTTGTTAATCATTGACCATTATTTCTGTAGCCCTCACCAGTATCAATTAAGATATGTACACCTGTAATGAATGACAAAAGCCTGTTGTGCACTTATATTACTGGAATTTTTAATCCCATGCACATGGAGGATAAAATGAATGCGGGATGTATTAATTAGCATACTTTTATTGCTATATTACCATCCTCAAGATATCTTCAGCATACTGTAGGAGAGCTCCTGCAAACACCATGACAAAGTTTGTCCCATCTCCTACTTCTTGTTCCATCTGTTGTGATGCTAGAACCAACATCTTAGCAGCAGGGTGCTGAACCTGGGTTGTCAAGAAAAAAAATCACATGAACACTGATGATGCTATTCAACATCTTGACATGGTATAGGAGGTAATCAAAATTGCTCATTAATTTCACTGAGAAAGTTAGAAAAAAAACAATCAAAAATTATAGGGTAAAACAGCGTTGATTTTAAAAGAGAAAATATTGAATCAGGAATTCCAATCAAACTATTGTATGATAAACTTTAAAATTATAAATATCACAACTACAGGAGGACCTATTTCCTTCTTCAAAAGTGTTATTTTAATGGCACTGCCACTGGCCACCTATAAACAATTGTAACATTGCTCAGAATAGTTTTATGGATTGTGTAAGAATATTGAAGATGACTGCATATTTTGTGCAAAATAGCAACAAACAAATCAAGACACCTCAAATATGCTTCTTAGCATGCAAGCAAGGTCTAATACCCCCCCTCCCCCTACACTTATATTAGAGAAAAGTGGAAACGTAATGATGTATACATAATACCACTGGCACCGCCTTCAATGGGCAGAGGAATATAACTAGTGGATACGACTACTTTGAACTGGTTTCATTCGAAGCAACATGTTTTTACCTCCAACTCTTTGAGAATGGTTGCAGCGTCATTTGTGACAAAGAGCTTCTCTATGTGGTTGATGACCATCTTATTCATGCCGCTCGGCCCATAGGCTGACCTTGTCGTCTGTGCAAGCTCCTTGCAGGCTCCAATGTTACGGTAGATGGCTTCTTCCAAACCTTGGAAATTCTGGAGACAAAACAGAAGATAATAATTATAGTTTTGACTTGTGAAGGGTACCAAAATCAACATAAAAAACAACTTTGCCTGGCATTTTATAGGTAAACAGTTAAAGGAGTATGAACAAAATTGAGGATGAAATAAAACTAGGGTGTCTGATCGCGCACCCGATGTTGTATGCTAAAATTCTTTCCATAGAGATTACACGCATCCCTATGCAGTCTACGTGCATTGCGCGACCATGCAAAGAAAGTCAAGTTTTTTTTTCCAAATCGAGATTCAAACCTTTGCCTGTTGTGATCTTGAAGGTGATACTCAATAAATGAGGTGTCATATGAAAGAGCAGGTGAATTCCAATATTTCCAAAGGGGGGTAGCCCCCAAAATTCTAAAAATATCTTGGTCAAAACAGCAATTTAAACATTGTGTCCTCGCTAACTCTGAGCTTTGTCACTTTTGAGATACATGTATCACGCCCCGATCGATAAGTAGTCCCAGTCCTAAGGAACAATTCTATGAGCTTATATTTTCGCTAGCCCCCAGGGATCACAACTGATAACAGTTTAAAAATACCCTTCCCGCTATTTGGTGGATCAGCTAATTAGAAGGCGTGCGCTCCGCTCAGTCCAAACCATGGTTACATCGCGTAACATCTCCGCGTGCGAACGAAACCCCAAATTCAATTACACATTATAGTGAATGAAAGTATGGCTAGCCATTCGCGCAATAAACCCGGAAGTGAATACACGTTATAGTCAATGACAATATCGCGGGTCTCCGCGATATTGCCATTGACTACAACGTGTATTCACTTCCGGGTTCTATGGCGCGAACGGCCACCCATACTAGTCAATGGCACATATCGCGGAGACAGCGTGGCTCAAGCTGCAAGTCGCGCATTGGCTTAGCAACATGCGTACTATGTGCATACGCTTGCATATCGCGCGATACAGATGTTTGTCTGAATTTAGCAAAACAACATCACTCTGCGTGGACGTCTTTTTTGTCGATTTTGACCAAAATGATATGAATATACCAGCGTTTTGGAGGGGCTGTATCTTTTGATAGAAACATTGGTGAGACTTGAAATTTGAAATGTATTATTCTGATTACATTTTTTATTCAAATATCAAACAAAAATGGTGAAAAACGATCCCAAATTGAAAATTGAAAAATGTTCAGACACCCTAATAAAACCCTGCAAAAACCCTGCACAGTACCCAAGTCGTACTTGGGTTCGGTGTGTAACTGTCCTATTCTAGTTGTGCATACCAGGTATTCAGCAATTTTAAGTGAACAACGTTCTATAAGTAACATGAATATTCACTTTTTGCTGCGCCGCTACCGTGCATGTATACTTTCTCTACGCCATGTTCAATAGAGGATAAGATCATATAACATGGATGAATCGGGTAAAGACATTCGCCCTTTCCCCCATCAAAGACTAGGCCTACTCATACCTGCCAACCTGAGACGAGAGAAATTAGGAGTAAATTTTTCTGGATGGACTACGAGGTCGCGAACCACCGAAGGATTGGGGTAGTAGCCCGTAGATTGGGGGGGGGGGGGGGGGGGGGGGGGGGGGGTACACAGGACTTTAGGGTCTATTTTTTTCTCTCTCCATTTTAATGGTGCAAATGGGCCTTTTCCTTCAACCTTTTCGCCCTACACATAAACAATTTTTGAAAAAAAATGCATGTTGAAGTCCGAGTGCTGATTCTGCAACTAGAAATTGTTTCCCGTACTTTTTCTTATACTTCTGATTATGAACAGCACGAGTCTTACCCATTTTGTCCTTCAAAAATGGAGAAATCAACGAAGAAGAAGAATATAGTAGTAGTAATCCAAAATAAATCCGAGGAAGTCCGGTAAATAACAAGCTTCCACGATCGCAGTCATCGCACAAGCATTGAAGAAAACACGCCAATATATACAGTGTTTATGCACGGTGTATCAACTGCACATGTAATATAAATACACGTGGGCTATACGCATGCAGTTACTATGCAACAACGCTGCATGTAGTGTATGTATTAGTACAACGTCCGCACACACTTTATCGATCTAGCTTGCGCACGTGCTTCCATGTACTAGTACATGCAGTACATGGATAATGACTGCAGTACATGGATAATGATTGCGGAACTAACGATCACGTTCGGGCTGCGCTGTGTATATCTTCTATGAGCGCGAGCGCGGATGTTGGCGTGATCTGGTTATCAGTCTTCTTCTTCTTGATTTGTTTTTGTTTGGCAATCAGTCACAGTTGACTATTTTTGCCACACACTATTTTATGAATTATTTATATATATACATATATGTACAATTTCATGTCATAAATGACTATTTTTAAGATTCTTTCTCTTTCCATCCTCTTTCCTTCCTCTTTTTTTCTTTTTAGACTCTATAACTTTTTTTAGAGAGAAAATTCAATAAATTAATAATTTTGGAAAGAGACGACGGCCTAGCAAGTTGTGAATGAAAAACGCCTATAAACTAAAACTAAACGTACGTACTTGTGTTTACGCGCACGTGCGCGTTCAAATATCACCTCACGTATGCACATGTGTACTTCGCACTTACCCCCACCCTTTTCAAAATGCCATCTGTGCTGTGTTATGCTTTAGTCTTATGCAACAGTCGTTTGTTTTAAAAATATTTTAAAATTATAAAAAAATCAGAGTTTTGAGGCATGCACTCGGAATTCGGAGTTGGTATGAAAAATGCGGAGGAACTCCGCTTAAATCGGGGTGGTTGGCAGGTATGCCTACTGATACTTCAAATTATAATTTCAAGTGGTTGGACAGATGCCCAGTGGAGTCCAAAAACATTGTGGTCAAAATTGTAATTACTACCATTTTACATATTTTCGAAAAAATGTGACAAAACAATGCCAACCCGCTGTTTGAATCGTTTTTTCCTATGTGGGCTCTATGCATCGGAGCTCCCTGGAGCTGGAGTTATCCTAATTTTAAAAACATACCAAAAATCAACTAAATTGTTATCAATTGTTGAATCAATCGCCAATGCGCAGAAAAAAAAATCATCCGCGAAAATGCGGACAATCCTTTTTTTAAGGACGCATCTGTTCTTGTTTACGGAGATGATCCCCCGATATGTGGACGATCCTTATTCTCTCGGACCAGCGCCCCTACTCCCTAGTACTGCTGGAAACAAGGAAAGAAACACAACATCAGTAGGGGCACTGGTCCAAGAATAAGGATCGTCTTCATCAACGAGGATCGTCTATGTGAACGCAGATCGATGCATCCTCAAAAATGAGGATCGTCTGCATTTTCACAGACGTTTCATATTTTTGATCTGCACATTGGCGATGCAAAAAACGGATTCTGCAATAATTTTCTTGATGCATCATATGTTGACTTTGTACAGAGACCTTCACATTATGAGCAATAAATCCTTGGGAAGACGGACAACCCATAAAAGTAGACGGTGAACTAGGGTTATTTTCCCCCGGGGAATCCATTTTTGGCATCGCCAGCCAGCCGTTCTGTAACATGAAACCCCCAGAGCGCCGATGAAAAAAAACGTCCTCGAAAATGCAGACTACCCTTATTTTTGAGGACGCATTTTGTCCTTGTTTATGAGGATATCCTTGTTTATGAGGACGATCCTCATTCTCGGACCAGCGCCCCTACTGAACATGACCAGACATTAATAGGGAGGCCAATTTTTTGAAGTGGGCGACGAGCGCACAAATCGTAGGTGTAGAAGCCTAATATGCCCGGGCATTGGCCTCCCTAACATTAATTAATCCAACAATTGATGAAAATTTAGTTGATTTTTGGTATGTTTTAGAAGGGTATCTGCAAGCCGGAGTTACGGGTCAAAGTTAACACGTCTGGATACGATTCTGTCTCTCAACTAGGGCCCAATTGACAATGCACAAATTTATAATTAGAGTCTAGATCTAGGTCTAATTTATAAATTTCAAATTTTTCTGACAAATGAGATGGAGATAGACCTAGATTTAGATCTAGAATTAGACTAGGCCTATAGAATACGAATCGGAATGGCATGAAAGACATTATCATAATATTAATTATAAACATTTCAACATTTGAAAAGGCTTCTAACTTCAATTCAATCTCAAGCTTTGATGGCAGTAGACAGCAATAACCATCTGATTTGGGTCATTTCTTTAATAAAACTGACATTTGTTGTCATTCCCCAATACAGATGGCAACCCAGAGATCTCGTACCGTGGGGGTAGCTATAGCCAACAATGGCAGCTTTTTTTGTCAAAACATTTTCTCCCCGATTTTCTCTATTTAGATCTAATTTTCTGATTTCTAAATCAGATGTAAATTAGGTCGGTCTATATATCTCCTAGTTACAGTTTTCAAAATTTTCTAACCTATTATAGAATGTGAAATTTTCGGACTTACTTATATGAATTTATCCAATTTCTGTGAAACTACGTTCATGCACTCGAAAATAGAGCTATATGACCCGGCGGCCGGTATATTTCCGGGTCAACCTACGCCAATGGCCAATCAGAGTAGGGAGGCCAATGCCCAAATCTAACTTTTTAATTACTAATTTGTTTATACTAAAACTAAGATTAAAAGAAAGCATTTACTTTCACTAAGAAAATCCACCCATCTGCCGACTCCAGAAGTTCCATCAAATAGGAGATATCCAGCTAGTTCCTATGAGGTTCCTTCTACGCCTTTCCGTACGTAAGAGCCATGAAACAATTATATTTCATGTCGCAAAGTTACGTTCATAATTAGACAGGCCCGAGGGACAAAGTTCATGATGAAGTTTAAAACTTCGCGCGAAAGTGCAATCACTCAACAGCGGCTAGCCTTGAATCGGTCGCACACGTACACACCTTCTTCTTCTTCTTAGTTGATCCCACCACCGACACAGGCAAGCCCCGATGCAGGCTGAAGTCCAGCCATCAATGTGCGAACGATTACATCTTCTACTACTACGAGCCGAAGACGATGGTTCAAAAATGAAGAATAGAAATATATATAATTCATTGATATTTACCTTAGATGTGCATTCCAATAATATGATTTCCTCATGAGTATTCCTTATTATCAACGATCGAGAAGTTACGAGGTCCAATTAACATCCATCTTGCAGCGAACACAATCATAGCGCACATCCATGCATGCAACGTACGTGTACTAATATTTCTCTCACTCTCTCTCTCTCTCTCTCTCTCCCTTTCGCTATACGTAACATACACACTCACTAACCATGTATCATACAACACACACCTTCAAATCATGGCTTTCATTTCAATTCTCAATTGGAGTATAGACTGCTCACGTAGACTTTTTTTTTTACTGAAATATCTTTTTTAACACTTCTCATACATTACTGCACGACACTCGTATCGAGTGCTGTGAGAATAAGGTACTAGGGTCTATAAATAAGACTACGCTTTGCGCACGATCTGACCGGAGCTCAGATTATGTCGCAATACCCTTTATTTTTGGCGCGAACAATGACGTCACTGTTCACTGTTTTCCTTCTCATTTTGAGATGGATGTAGCTATAGGGCTCAAACCAACGCACGATTGACAGAAACATCGTACTCTATCTACTTTCGAATGTTCAGTTTGTAAAAATCTGTATTTAAAAAGATATAATCTTTTTTCTTTATATTTTCTAGTTGTTAGAAGTGGCAATTGTGAACATCTGAAATGTTGATCTCTATCAAAAGTTCTTTACTCAAAACGGATCCCATATTTTTAGGGTCTACCTTCTGCCAATGAGAAGGTTTTTAGTGAGCAAACCTCTACGCCCTCTAGGATTTTCTTAGTCGGTGGTGCGAGTGCGTCAAGGTCGTCTGCAACCACAATTATTGGATTAAAAACGTCAAAATCTGCAAGATTGTCAACAAATGGTGAAAGACTGTTACAGATCCGTGATTATAGGTATGTTGTGAAATGTATAATTGTATTTTCTTTTCTTATTTTCTTCAATTTTTATTTTTACATCATTTTTTTCCCTTTGCTAATTTTTTGAAGTGGGCGACGAGCGCACAAATCGTAAGTGTAGAAGCCTTACGCCCGGGCATTGGCCTCCCTAATCAGAGCACTCGTTTCGTGGGAGTTCGTTGGTCAAGCTGGGCTTACTCGTACGTAGCTACGGTAGCTATTGGACGTTCGAAAAGAAAAAATGAATATTCATCAACTAACACCAAGACGGATAATGTTGACGACGAGACTTTCTCGGATTAATCATTAATTTAGGATCTAAATGAGCAAGCTATCGTAAGTCAAATAAGCTATATAGGGTCTATATGTTATTTTTAATTTGTGTTATAATTGCAGTAGTTATGAGGATGTAAAGAGTGAAAATCTTGTTGCATATTTCATTCATCGCGGTCCGGTCGAACCGAACCATTTGTTCCGTACAGTGCCTCACAGAAAGAGGTCCCCAGACTTCAGTCTCTATAATCAGAGGTCTAGTGGAACCAGACGTAGTCTCAGTGGAACAACCGACGATTAGAGAGACTGAAGTTTTCGGTCTATGATGGCAGCTGCAGTGAACCGGCAAAGTTTTGAGAGTAAGTGCAGCCTCGCCCTAGCCAGCGAGCTGGGGAGCGGCATGGACATCAGTGCACTGCTGCCGGGTATACCAGTACCGCTCATTTCAACGTGAAGTGCAGTGCAGTGCACACGGAATTCGCGATGCTTGACAACGAAAGAACGATCGATAATAATTGTTACCTATCCACAGTAGGCACATTCTGCACCTAAAATTACCATATTTGTTTTATCAACGTATTTCACTCATAACAGCAGACAAATCTGTAGAAGAACTATACTCACTTTTGCTCCATCTTTCATCATTTGGGCAAAGCCCGGTGCACGAGGTACATTCATCGCCATGTTGAAACTCAGTTGTGAAAACTTATGGTGTGAGGAGATAGAGTTTTTAACAGCCGTTTTGCATGACAACAGGGCTTATGTTCTTGCTAGTTGTTTGCTTTATGTTATTGTTTATGTTTTGTTTGTTTCCATGTGTAGAAAATGTCAGTCCAATAATATCGTCTTCATAGATTTCCAATGAGAAGCATAGCATTCATTATTTATATCTATGACGGGACAAATAGTCCTATTTCCAAACTGTTTTACCAAACGAATAAAGGCAAAACAAATTGATTCAAGTACTATCCAACTGCGACTAGAGAAAGACTACGCGGAAGTTGCGCTGCGCTGCATGCATGGAGATCGAAAGCATATTCTAGAAACATTGTGAGTCACCAATGATCAAGAAATAGGCCTACAGTGGCGTATCCAGGATTCTCTGAGCAGCTGAGCAGGCGCGGATCCAGAATTTTCCAATAGGGGGGAGGGGGGGGGGGCGGAAATGTGGATATCGCGCAGACAGTTATTTCAACTCAACGTGCAAACAGCTAGAGGTAAGTGGCCCCATTAAAAATTGAGCCCCTACCCCCTTCTCATAAATGCCCCTTTTCATCTCTGGTAAATGACCCTTTTCAGATACGAGAAGTTACTCCTTTCACTTCAGACAAGTGTCCTCTTCACTTCCAATAAAGCTGGTTTTCTTGAAGTCGACCAAAGATCAAAACAAATCGTATTGCATCACGTTCATAAAATATATCATACTAGGTCGAATCATTATATTCGATCCAACTTCGATCTTGTTACTGACGTACATGATTATAATACAAGAAATAGCCGATTCAACTTTAACTTACCAGAAAGAGTACGTAGTATTGGAAATTCGTTTTATTACAATGCCATAAAACATTGGAATTCCCTTCCCAATGGTGTAAAAGAAATAGGAAACTAAGATAATTTTAAGAGGAAATTAAAGTAATACCTTATACTTGACAGTCAGAGAAGAGAAGTGAATGACATGTTATATGATTTAAATTTGTATTCTTCTGTCGGTTCATACTTTTTCATTTTGTATATACTTATGTTTTCGTACGTTATAGAAATTCTAAAAATTCATCATTATTTTCCTCTTCTTCCTTCTCCTCTTTTTCTTCTTCTCCTTCTTCTTTTTCTTCTTGTACTTAATATCATTTCTATCATCAGTTTAATGTTGTTATTATTATTATTATTATCTTTAATAAGTAGTTCTTTTAATTTTCTTATCTGTCTGTAAATATTACTAATTTAACTTCTAAATTTTATATATGTCTGCAAGGGACCCCACTGGAAATAATTAAGCTCTCGAGCTTTCGTGGGTTATCCTGTTCAAGCTGACTTATTTTTTTATCTGTTATTATTGTATATTGTTGTATGTTGGAAGCTTGTCGAATAAAAATCAATCAATCAATTTATTAATATCTGATCGGTGCCCCTTTTTTCTTCAACTAATAATGGACCTATTCCCTTTTCATAAATGTCCCCGTTTACCATTTATTTATAAATGCCCCTATCAAAATCTGATGGGGGGCCCCTTTTTCGTCAACAAATGCCAATTTCCTTTTTTTCATAATTGCATAGAATCTCATCCCTGGTGAGTGCTTATTTTCAGGTCTAAGCAGTGTCCTATTTTCACCTCTGATAATTAACCGTTGTACTTTGACACGTGCTCCTTTTCTTTTCTAATAAGTGTATTATCCCCTTCGATAACTTTCCTCTCACCATTAAAAGTGCACCTAATTTAAAAGGATTAAGAGCAATTTCCCCCAAAGCTACGCTCGCTCGAATTTATAGATGATATAATTATGATTGTTTTTCCCCCCCCCCCCCCAGTGTAAGATGTAATTTGTTCGCACTGAGACCTCACAAAAAAGACCTTTTAAAATTCGCTCGCTCGCAAATGAATATTCAGACCATTACACCAAACTGCAAATAATATGATGCAATATCTTGCATGATGTATAAAGAGAAAGAAATATTGAAATCATCCCTGATTATGTAATCACAATGTATGTGTATATACCAATGTCTATTTTTAAAAAAATGTATATTTTCGCTTGAGATTTCTCTTTGTAGGTGCCCTTTTTTTATTAAAAAAAAAGAAGAACCGATCGTGAAAGCCTAATTTGTTCAGAAAATTACACACTTTTATCGCCAGAATCTGGCTAAAACACTCCTTTGAGTTGTACAGATACGCAGAAGACGAACTGTCAGTCAAAATTTTGACGCAAAATTAGTCGTATGCACATCGTTTATTGGTGTCACACCGGCGAACTGATCGGGGTGGAAGTTACTCCCGCTCCCCCCCCCCCCCCCCCTAAAAAATTATAAAAAAAAAAAAAAAAAAATAATAATAATAATAATAATAATAATAATAATAATAATAATAATAATAATAATAATAATAATGATAATAATAAATAAAAATAAATAAATAAATAAATAAATAAATAAATGAATAAATAAAACATTCAAAAAAAATAATAATAATAATAATAATAAATAAATTGAATAAATAAATAAAATAAATAAATAAATCAAATGTGTTTCATTTCTACCAAATGTTGCTGAAATGTCATGATCTTCCAGGGTTTTTCCTCACTTTTGCCCATTCTGCCCTCCCCCCGAAAGTTTTAGCTCATTATGCCACTGGTCACAGATGAGTTGTTAATAGGGACTTTTAGATTGGCGTGGACGGATACGTGTGACGTCCAGTCAAGGCAGTGCATTAAAAGGACGTCACACGTAGCAATCCACATTGTCTTCGTGCAAATCTAAAAGTCACTAATGTTACACTGTATGGACAGATTGGATAGATGTATAAATCAGTGAAATTATAATCAGTATACGATGCGAAAATAATCTCCAGCTTCCGGAAACCAACCTGGGAATTTTTGTTGGGTCCCGCGGAACGAAATTACTCACCGCTTTTGCAAAATGTTTCACTTATAAAATGTACTCATAAAAATAAAGGGTCAACATTAAATTTTCTAATTTTTACCAAGTGTCTCATTTGAATGAAATATTGCTTCAGACCATACTTTACGTCATTCAATGAAAATACAGTGCGTCCCAGAAAAAAAATGAAACCGAGAATTATCGATGTTTTATATTAAACTTAATCACAATTATAATAAATGACATATTTGTAAAGCTTAGATCCTCCTCTTTCATTTGATGCAACTCATATGATACATATTCCACGCATGAGTGATTAAAAATAATTTGAAGAGAGGGTACCAAAAAGTCATTTGGCGGGCGGTATCCGAATTTCAAAGAGAAAATCAAATTTCTAGAAAGTTTATTTTCTGCCCTTTCATATGACACCTCAATCAGCAAAAATGAGCCAGGAAAAACAAAGTTGTGTTTGTTTAAAGTGATGATTACATTTCCATATTTTGATTTAAAACGATTTCGTTTTCACTTGCTGCCTGCCGTAGCAACGAACAGAGTTGACAAAAAAAAACTCCGTTTCATTGACGATCAGCCATGCACAAAGAAGACGAAGATTAAGATACGATAAAACATCGATAATTCTCGGTTTCGTTTTTCCTGGGAGGCTGGGACGCACTGTATAGTAATCTGCCAGTGTCACAAATAAGATATCAAAATATGCTCGTCTATCCGTAATCAAATGCCTGACCCCTGAAAGTGTCCTTTTCCCTTTTGAAAATTTGCTCCCTTTTCCTTTCTCCATAAAAAGTGCTCCTAATTTAATGCGATGAAGAGCAACCAAAATCTTGCTTGCTACGCTCGTTCATAATTAAAGTTGATATAATTATGTTTCTTATTAAAGATATTTTCAGTCTTTCATGATTAGATTGTGATTAAAACCACATCAGGATTTTTTTTTCTTTATAAGATATCATTTTTTGCACTGCAAACTCACAAATCTCAATATTCATACCATCATACCCAACTGCAAAGGACCAGTGGCGTACGCAGGATTTTTTCAAGGGGGGGGGGGGGGGGGGGGGGGAATCGGGCCAAACATTTCGCAACGACTCAGCCCGCCGCTGAATAAGCGGGGGGGGGGGGGGGGGGTAAGAGGAGATTTTTTTCTTTTTTATTGGTCCCCCAAAAAAAATCGCAACGACTCAGCCAGCCGCTGAATAAGCAGGCGGGGGGGGGGGGGGGGGGGTAAGAGGACCTTAATACACACATAAACAAACTAAAGGGGAGGTTAACCCAAAACTTTTACTCTTTCAAACAGCAAAATCCTACATATTCATGAAGTTTTTAAGTTATTTTTATGAAATTGCTCTCACAATGTCATATTCCTGATAGTTCATTTCACTGCATGACTGGGTTAAAAATGAATAGAAACACAATCATCATAATATATTATATAAGAACTATTATAGTTCTATTATAAGAACTAGCTATTATTATTATTATTATTATTAATTTGCTGAGAATGGACTAATTATCCCTGTTTTTTATGAATCCAGAGATAATATTTAGATTTCCGCTTTAATTTTATTACCACCATTTTTTTTTATGTCTAAGCTTTCAGTTGATACCAAATTTGACTGCCGCCTTCGAGTGCCTATTATTATGTGAGAGCCAATCTTCCTTGCCACATTGCCCAGAAAAATGTGTTTATTTTTGGTCCGCGGGTGAATAATGAAGGATTCGCGGTCATAAATTACGGCGCGTGGGGGCGCGCAGTCACGGATCCAGAGAGGGGGGGGGGGGGGGGTGGTGGGTCGGGGACCCGTTTCCCCCTACCCTGGGGAAAAAACGTGTAAAAACACGTTAATTTTACCTTTTTTTTTTTTTTTAGATGGCCCCCTCCCTAGCGCTCAAGGGGGGGGGGGGGTGCGATTTTTCAAATTTGCTATGGTCAATGAAAAAAAAAAAAATAAGTGCTCACTACCCCCCCCCCCTCCCCCCTCCCCCTCCCCCTCCCCCCTCCCCCCTCAACCCTCCCCCTTCCCCCCTCCCCCTCCCCCTCCCCCTTCCCCCTTCCCCCCTCCCCCTCCCCCCTCCCCCCTCACCCTCCCCCCTTCCCCCCTCCCCCCTCCCCCTCCCACTGAGCGAATTATCGGCCGGC